CTCGGCGGGCTCCCCCGCAGCACCTCGGAGGCCCTCGGGCCCCGCGGGGGGCTGCCGGCTCTCCTCGGGGGGCTGGTGCGGGGTGGGGGGGGCGGGAGCGGAGGGGCGCGGAGGGCTACAGTCGGGGCGTTGACCTAAGGAACCCCAAATAAGGAACGAGGCCCTTTTTCCCATACGTAAAACTTCGATTTCCGATCGAAAACATGAGGAAAACCTGAGGCAAGCTGTGAAACACTTAAGCAACGCGGAGCCCATCCCCAACCAAAAGGGTTCCTTCTTCAGGGCCCCGACTGTATGTTGCTCCCATCGTACTTCAGGGCCACGGCCCAGAAATGCCTGGGCATTTTCTTAGGGTGGAGGGCTCAGGGTGAAATCCATCGGGGCTCTTTTGCGCCTCGAAAATCAATCCGGTCTGTTGCTCGCTTTTTGCAGATTTGAGACTCGAAAGCCCATCGAAACGGCATTTCAGATTTCACCCTTTGCCCTCCACCCAAAGAATCTGCTCGGATAATTTCGAGCACCCAGACAAGTGTCGAAAGAGTGTCGAATCAGTGTCAGGCGAGTGTATCCCAGGGCCCGACACGTGAAAGCCCTCGAGATTCGGTACTTCTTTGGTGCTCGAAACTCTTTCTGGTGGTCAAGGCTAAAGTAGGTTGGAACATCGTAAGCGGAAGGACGGCGATGTCGTTTCCCATGACATCGTCGCGTCGTGAAAACCCACGACCGGACTTGTTCCACAGACTCCGGCATCGGGGGCCTTTCGCCAGCCCCACGGGGCGTGAAACAGGTGAAGTAACCTGCGACGTACCCGCCCACTCGCATCAAGTGGCAACATGAGATTCAGAAGATATGGTTGATGACAACACAGGTTGTGTCATTGGTGGCGCAAGCTATATGGGGAGCGCGTGCGTTGCACGATTCAAGGGACGTCAACAGAAGGACGTAGGCTGAGGCCGCAGGCCCGAGGAGGGAAATGGAGGCGGGAACGAGGTGGGGGGCCAAGAAATATACACCACAACCACCTCCCTCCTCCTCCCTCTCGCTGGACAGAGGAGAGAGGAGGAATCGACATGGTGGTGTATATACTTTGGGCCCCGCCTCCTGCTCCTCAAAGTCCTTGTCTTGCTCGTCGTCTCCGTCTGCAGGGCCGGCGGTACCGGCCGTAAGGCCTTCGCAATTAAAAATAGCCCCCAAATGCTCTCTAATGACCAATTTATATATAAAAAACATCGCCCCCTGACTATTGTTTGACTATTCTTGGACATTCCCCCTGGAGAGGGACAGGCCCGACTTCACCCCAGGGGTGGCGATGTCAAATCTGAATCTGCGCAGGACGCCACTGTGCTGGACCCGGCAGCAGCCACCGATAAGCTGGCCACGCGGATCCAGGGTGGGCCTCACCAGCCCCGGGGGGCTGCGAGCTGCTGCGCTGTGGCCACTTGCGGGGGCTGGTGTCGGCGGTTGTCAAACCTTCCAGGCGTCGGCGGTTGACAAACCTCCCTTTCAGAAACCACCCTTTCGAGAACACGGCCCGGGACCGAAACCGACGGACCTGGACCCGCAGAATAACGGCCGCGACGCCCTCTCGCGAACCGAGAACGGCCAATTGACTAATCGACGTGTCAGGGTAGGAGGTCTATCAACCTCCGAAGGTGGGGGGTCCAGCAAAATGACGTCCTGTGCATGTTCTGGTCAGGTCTGGTCGTCTCTCTGGGGCTGCGGATTGCGGAACTGCCGCCGCTTTCGAGGGCTGCTGGGGGGTCTGGCACAGCGACTTCCTACGCATATTCATGCGCTGGACCCACAGCAACCATCGAAAAAAGAAGCCGGCTTCGTAGCTCGAAGCCCCCCAAGGATGGCGAGGTCCAACCTGGGTCTGTGTAGTGCGTCACTCCGCTGGACCCCCCAACAGGCCTCGAAAGTGGCGTCGGATGGCGAAGTCTAATCTGCGCCCGTGTAGGGCGCCACCCCGCTGGATCCCCGAGTAGCCCTCGAACATCGCCACAGCTTCGCATTTCGCAGCCACCCAGGGACGACGAAGTCCAATCTGAATCTGCGCAGGACGTCACTACGCTGGCCCCCACAGCAGCCTTCGAAAGCGTCGACAACTTCAGAGCTCGCAGCCCCCCCAAGGATGGCGAGGTCTAGTTCGAGTCTGCGTAGGGCGTTTCCCCGCTGGACCCCCCAACAGCCCTCGAGAGCGTTGACAATTTATGGCCAGATCGGATTAGATTCAGCGTAAAACGTCACTCCGCTGGAACCCCCATCAGCCCTCGAAACAGGCGACATTTCAACCATTCGCAGCCCCCAAGGGATCGCAAAGCCTAGTTCAGATCTGCGTGAAACGTCACTCCACTGGACCCCCCAGCAGCCCTCGAAAGTGCCGACAGTTTCGCAATTCGCAGACCCGCAAGGATCTCACTCAAGCCATGAGCCGTCGCGCGGGCGGGCGGGAAAACAAGCTCAGCGCAGCCTGCGCTGCAAGGAGGAGGAGGAGGAGGAAGCGGCAACAAAACGAGACGGAAACAACAACTACGAGAATATCTCTATACGTATAGATATGCAATTCAGTCAGTGTTTTTTTTTCCGAAGGGGCTCGCAAACACCAGAACTCGTCGACGCGTTTCCCGACACATTCCCACCATCGGCGTTTATATTGCGCGCAAGCGAACAGCGTATGGCTGGCCCGCCATGCTGATGAACTCTCCAACGTGAACGCGTGGCCCAATCAGGCTTCGGCCGGCCCCTTCCCCTGCGGAGTTGCGCCGCAGCGGGCAAGGTTGTCCCCAGTTGCAAGTTCAGCTGTTTCGCAAGAGCATGTTCTGCCGCTTCCCGCAGAAAGCAAGAGGGGTCACAGGGGGTTTCCAACCCGCCCCCCCCTCTCGAAAACCAAGGGGGGTCACTGGGGGTTCAAGCCCGCCTCCGCCCCCCAGTCCATAATTAAAAAAGGAGGGTCGCTGCCGATTCGAACCCACCCTCATCCCCCACTCCTGATGGGGGACTGTTGGGGACAGTGGTTGGGGATGGCGGTGGGGAATGGGGACAGTGGTGGGGACAGTGGGGGAGTGGGACCGTGGTGGGGACAGTGCAACAGTGGTGGGGGCAGTGGTAGGGACAGGGGGGACAGTGCGACAGTGGTGGGGGCACTGGCGGAGACACTGGGGACAGTGGTGGGAAGAGTGGGCATTGGGGACACTGGGACAGGCGGTGGTGGGGACAGTGGCGATGGGACAGTGAGACAGTGGTGGGGACAGCGGGGACAGTGGGAAAGTGGTGGTGGGGACACTGGTCAGGGCGGTGGTGAGGATAGTGGAGAGACAATGGGACAGCGGCACAGAGGGGACAATGGTGGGGACAATGGGGACAGTGGTGGGAACAGTGGGTACAGTGGAACGGCACAGTGGGACAGCGGTGGGGACAGTGGGGACCGTGGGAGACTGGTGGGGACAATGGGACACTGGTGAGGACAGCAGGGACATTGGGGAGAGTGGGGCCGTGGTGGGGACCGTGGGACAGTGGGGGCGCTGCGACAGCGGCGGGGGCGCTGGCGGGGACACTGGGGACACTGGCGGGAACCGTGGGACAGTGGTGGGGGCGGAGGTGGTGGGGACAGTGGTGATGGCGGTGGCGGCGGGGGAGGAGGAGGAGGAGGAGGAGGAGGAGGAGGAGGTGGAGGAGTAGGAGGACCCCCTCCCCCTCCAACTTCTGGTGGTGGTGGTGGAAAGACAGGCCCATCAGGAGATCAGATCTTGGTCCTCCGCCCTCGGCGCGTGCCCCCTCGTCTGCCCCATCGGCGGCCTGCCCTTCTCGCTCGGCCGCCCCCTGCCCGCTCCCGGGGGCCGAAGGCGGCCGAAGGCAGGCCCGGGGCGACGTGAGGCGGGAGCCGCGGCGGCGGCGGCGGCAGCCGTGGAGCATCGGGTCGGGCGAAAGGGGGGGATTGGGAAAGGGGGGGTTACGAAATTTGCTGCATGCAGCTGGTTTCGGCCTCACCGAGGGGCCCATTCCTCGATACATAGCCGCCTCCCGGCGCTGGGAGGCGCCGGGAAAATCAGCTACGTGAGCTGATTCTCAAACCCCCCCTTTGCTATCCCCCCCTTTCGCCCGACCCGAGAGCAGGGGGGGAGAGAGAGAGAGAGAGACTGCGACGAAGCCAGGACGAGGATCAAATCGGGTGGGGATAGATCGAGAATCTCCGAGATCCAGCGGCTCCGGAGGACGTCTCGGGCACCGCGGCCTGCTCAGAGCGTTCTGAAAACGCTCTGGGAGCATTCTGAAACGCTCTGGGACGGATGTATCATCGGCCTCGCCCCGTCCGAGCGAGAGCGAGCGAGAGAAAGAGTGAATTTTCGGAGGCAACTCTTTCGGTGTCTCTGGGGTCCGGGTGACGTCAGGTGGGTAGTCCACCTCAGGGGGGGATGGGGGTGGGTGTAAGAACGATCACAAGCTATTGATGTCGATTTAGGAGTCGTTGAGCCAGATCATCCCAGACTGTACCCAGGATCAAGGGAAGTCCGAGAGGAGCCCAAGATACCCAAAAACCTGGATCCCGAGAAGAAAACTCGTCACACACATATGATTTTTCAGAGGCCCGAACAGATCCTTTGGATCGGCGCCAGCCTCGCCCCCTTATACTTGGAGAGCGCCAGCGGCGGCGCCGGAGGCGACATCAGGGGGGGGTCAAGCGCCGATCCAAGAAATCTGCGCGGAGCTCAGCTCCGAACATGTTAGAACATGATTACTCTTTCCCCTTCTATATCGAGCCAACCTGACGCGCACACCGTGGAATGGACCTCTGAGCACGCATCTGCCAGAAGATGGCACAGGATGGGCCGGGGCGGAGGTTGGGGGGCTCGGGGCAAAGGTTATGTCGGGCATGTCCCCCTACAGGGGGATTTTCGGCAAGGGTTATGTCGGGCCTCCGACATGTATGTGAATACATATGTGAGTCGACACACTCCAAATGTTTGTGGATAGAAAAAACGAAGGCCGTCAGCACTTCCTGCCCATGGTGAACAGGACTCGCTGCCGGTGACGCCGCGGACAGACAAATCACGTGCCCCACAACGGCCGCCGTCGGCTTGCGACACTATTTCTCAGTTGGTTGGCACGAAAGGAAAGGATCCTGAGGGAAACGGGTCCTTGACCTAGGCTTAAGTCGGGCGTGTCCCCCTACAGGGGGATATTCGACGAACAATTCGCCGGCCCAACGGGCCAGGGCGTGCTAAGATCTCCGGTAACTGGTTAACAGTATCAACAGTATTTCTAGTTCGCGCGCGCGGGGCGGCCCCTGGGGGTCCCCCGGCCAAAAGTACCCCGACCAACGCCCGGTCGCCGCCCGGTCGCCGCCCGACCGCCGCCCGACCAAGTCTACTCAGAGATGGTTTTCCTTCTGGGTGCGGCCTCTCAGGCTCCCCAGAGCGCGCTCAGAGTGCCCCAAGAGGCCCCCAAGACTGCCCAAGAGGCCCCCGAGACGCCCAAAGAGCGCTCGAAGACGCCGAAGATGACCCCAAGACGGCCCAAAAGGCCCCCAAGACAGCCCAAGAGGCCTCCAAGACGCCCCAAGAGCCTTCCAAGAGGCCTCCGAAGAGAGCCCCAAGAGGCCAAAATCGTTGATTTTCATTGGTTTTTTTCGATGTTTTTTGTGTTCTGGCTTTTTCGGCTTCCGGACGCTCCAAGACGGCCCAAGAGGCCCCCAAGACCGCTCCAAGACGGCCCACGAAGCTCCCAAGACGGCGCCGAAACGACCCAAGAGAGCCCTCAAGACGGCCCAAGTGCCGCCCAAGACGGACCAAGAGGCCCCAAGACGGGCCCAAGAGGGACTCAGGAGGGATACCGAGAACTCAAAAATGGAGCCCTCCGTCCCAGAAGGCGCCCAGGAGGTCCCAAAGAGGCCCCAAGAGGCCTCCAAGAGGCCCCAAGATGTCGCCAAGAGGCCCCAGGAGACTCCCAGGAGGCCCAAAAGAAGCCCCAGAAGGCTTCAAACATGTCTCCCAGGCGCCCCCGAACGGCCTCTCAACAGACCCCAAGAGGCCCCCCAAAGAAGCATCTTGACGACGACTCTATTTCGCCCCATCGAGAGACGACCCCCAGGGAACTGCTTCACCATCAAAACTCCCCACGCAACGCGTCCGAACGACACCCGCCCCCAATAGCGCAACATGGGCAACGAACACACAGACAAAAACCAGCGATGCCACATCACGGGCCGGCGGAATGAGCGAAGCGATTCAATAAAAAATAGTCAAAAGATAATCAAAAATGGTCGAAAATAGTCGACGAAATCTAAAATCACCCTGTAGGGGGACACGCCCGACATACACCTGGGCCATTCCCCCATTCCCCCATTCTCGTTCGTTGTTTGACGGTCCACGAGCCGTCGAGGGCCCTGGACACCCGAAGACTGCCCAGAACTCAAAACCCTTTGTCTCTCAGAACATGCTTCCCTCATCTCGCCATCGCTCGGACGTCAATTCCCTGTGTTTTTGTTCGCTTTCGTGCGTGGTCTTTTCGCCAAATGATCAAGGATGCTCCTCGATGGTCCTCGCCGAAGGAAAAATGCACACGTCCGAGCGATGCCAAGTCATGGCCATGCCAGGCATCGTGCCCACTCTGTCCGTACCCATCTCGCGCATGCCAACTCTTAGGGGGAACGTTAGGGATGGGACCGGCTCAGGGGGGGAACCAACGAACTGGAATAAAGTCGGGCCTGGCCCCCTACAGGGGGATGTTGGACGAAAAATGCACATATTTATACAATGCTCCAGAATGGTCAAAAAAATGTTCAAAACTTCGTTCGCGGACTATTTTTTGACTATGCTTGAATGTCCCTCCTGTAGAGGGACAGGCCCGACTGAACGTTAGGGGTGGGACCAGCTCAGGGGGGGAACCATCGAACTGGAAAGTCGGGCCTGGCCCCCTACAGGGGGATTTTGGACGAAAAATGAACATATACATATTTATACAATGCTCCAGAATGGCCAAAAATTTTCAAAACATCGTCCGCGGACCATTTTTTGACTATGTTTGAATGTCCCTCCTGTAGAGAGACAGGCCCGACTTAGAGGCCTCTTAGGTAGGGTCCGAGTAGATGGGGTCGACAGATCGCGCCGCATCGCCGATACATCGGCGATACATAGGCGATGCATCGGCGATGCATCGGCGATGCACAGGCGATGCACCGTCGACGCGGGCGATGCATCGGCGACGTCGGCGTGAAGAACATCGGGCTCCGCATCGAGGCGCATCGGCGATGCATCGGCGATGCGGCGCGATCCTCCGACCCCATCTACTCCGACCCCATCTAAGAGGTCTAAACGACTGAACGTCAGGGGTGGGACCGGCTCCGGGGGGAAGCGTCGAACTGGAATCGGCAATCCATCGCTGGTGCCTCAGCGATAGGACCCCGACAGCGCGTCCGCACGGTGGTGGGCGGGGCAGGCGACCGGGCCCCGCACCATCCCCCCTAACTGAAGGGGCCCCAGGACACGCAACTAAATACACACAAATAAGCATATTCCCTATATTTTCTAATATTTTCAAGGTTTTCGTCTTCCCCCCCACTTCCCATATTTTCCTATATTTTCTGGGGAATCGACGATTAATTGTGTCTGTGTGTTTGTTTCCAGCGTTTTTCCCCAATTAGGGCTTCGCGCGCCTAGCTCTTAACCGGAAGGGGCCTGCTCCCGACCCGCCGACCAAAAAAAAGTTTGTTTCCCGCCTGACTGATGTCCTCCTTGCAAGGGAGGGGTGCTCCTGGCGTCGCGGTCCCTGTGGTCCCGGACCGACTGCCCCGCGGAGGCGCCGCTTCTCGCGGCGGGCTTCTCCGGCTCCTGAGGGGGCGCACTCCAGATCGATCTTTTTTCGGCGGTGCACAGACCTCCCTTTCGTAGACTTCCCCTCCCCTCAATGAAAACGGCCTGGGACCGAAACCGACGGACCTGGACCCGCAAAAATGACTGCCACGACGCCCTCTCGCGAACCGAGAACGGCCAATTCCTTAATCGACGTGTCATGGTAAGAGGCCTGTCCATCACCGATTTATACAAGCTGCGCAACACACAAATGGGTACGGAAAAAAGGTACAATGCCCAACAACAAATGTTGTCCCAAACCGACAGCGGCCGCTCTTGGGCAGGCGGCCTTCTGTCTCGACTGGACACAGACCGCGGCGGCGTGCCGTTCTTGGGCAGGCGGCCTTCTGTCTCGACTGGACACAGACCGCGGCGGCGTGGACAACGAGTCCTGTTCAAAATGAACAGAATCCGATGCTGGGCATTGTGCCGATTCTTTCCGTGACCATTTCGTTCGTGCAGAACTCTCGATCTTTTTACAAGCTGCGCAACACACAAACTTCGGGCCGGGCGAAAGGGGGGGGGATAGCAAAGGGGGGAGGGTGAGAATCAGCTCACGCAGCTGACTTTCCCAGCGCCTCCTGGCGCCGGGAGGCGCCCATGTATCGAGGAATGGACCCGGCGGCGGGGCAGACACCAGCTGCATGCAGCAGATTTCGTAACCTCCCCTTTCCCAATCCCCCCCTTTCGTCCAGCCCGAGATCTTCTTCCCTCGCTGGAGGCACACCGCCGATGTTGGTGTTGGTGTCAGCCTCTAGGCCGGCGACGACGCCATGCTCAACCAGGGAAGCACGGTATGGGCTCGACTACAAGAAGCCTTCAACAAAAAAACCCAACCCCTAGACCCCATGAAGTCCGTGGACGTTTGGGGTGGGAGCGTCACGCCTTCCATGAAAAAAAACCATCGGAGCCCAAGAGAGCCAGGGCACCCTGGAGGCAAGCAGGATGCTTCTTGGCATGGGGCACCTGCGCCACAGAGGGCTCCGGCCGCCTTCGAAAAACAGGTGGGCAGCAGCCCACCCTGAGACCCAACCCTGAGACCCCATATGAGAAGGCGAAAACCCACCCCCACCCCCAGTCCCGACCCCATCCCCGAACCCGCGATTCAAGGACTCGGGACTGGGGGCGGGGGTGGGTTTTCGGGGTCCAGGAATGGAGAAAACCCCCCCCCACCCCCAGTCTCGACCCCCTGAATCGCCGGCTCGGGGATGGGCGTCGGGACTGGGGGTGGGGGTGGGTTTTCGCCTTATGACCATAGAGTCAATGGAAAACCGTCGGAGCTCCGCGCGGGCTTCTCGGACCTGCCCCGAGCCCCCCGCCCGCGCCGCCCCCTGCAGCGCGCGGGCGGCGCTCCCGGGGGGCGGCGCGGCCGCGCAGCTGCAGGAGGCCCGCGCGGAGCTCCGCACAGTGGGTGCCTGCTTTGTTGACTACCTACCAGACCACCCCAACCCGAAGACCCGAATTTCGGGTTGGGGGGGGGTATGGGCTCCATATGTGTTTTTTCGATGTTCCCAGACCCCCCCCCCACTAGAAATGGAGGGTAAATCCGAGCCTTCGGGTTGGGTTGGGGTGGTTTGGTGGGTGGTGAGTTTTAGGGGAGCAGAGCCCTGGCCTTCCAGGAGGGCCAGGAAGATAGCACCAGGACGTCGACGCCCCAATTCCTGTCGAGGTTTGAGAGGCAGTCCAGATAGATCTACAGGTCCGGAATGCTATTTTTTAGCGCTCTGGAGGGTCAGGGAAAGAGTGACGTAAACGTAAAAACTCGGAGGTCCGCGCGGATTTCTCGGATCGGCGCTGGGGCCCCCCGGCGGCGCCTCCGGCGCCGCCCCTGGCGCGCTCCGCGCGCCAAGGAGGGGGGTCCAGCGCCGATCCGAGAAATCCGCGCGGACCTCCGAGTTTTTATGTTTCTGCACTCCTTGCTCCCCTATTTGTTCAACTTCGACGGAAGGCATCGATGCACCACCACCACCGGGCATGGCCAGGGCCATCGTGGGCGGTGGCGTAGTCGTGGCCGGAAGTCTGTGCACAGCCCTGTGGGTCCAGGATTGCTCTGGCCGGGGCGGCGGTGGAGTATCAGGTGCCTTCTGTGCATGGCGCCCAAGGTGGGGGTGGCGGCCCCAGGACACACAAATAAATACACACAAATAAAAGATTCCCCATATTTTCATATATTTTCTGGGTTTTTGTCTTCCCCCCACTTCCCATATGTTCCCATATTTTCCTGGGAGTGGACGATTAATTGTGTCTGTGTGTTTTTTTCCCTCCTGAAAGGTGGGGGCGGCGGCCCCCCGCAGCTGCGCCTCGCCGAAAAAGCGGTCCGGGGGTGCCCGCGTCGCCCCGAAGGACCGCCGGAGATCCGAGCTGCGTCCCGAAAGCCAGACGACGAGGATCTGGTCGGAGGAAAGTCGGGGAGACGTAAGACCCGGGTACGGGGGACTCGGAAATCCCCGACGAGGTCGTCAAAAAAATGACGAGGCCGAGCCTGCATTTTGACGAGGCCTCCCGCTGCAGACATCCCACGCAACTCCTCCTCGTCAAAATCCGAGGCGCGGTCGTCAACAAACGATGGCGAACCCGAGTCCCGGCAAACCCGGGTCTTACGCTCCCCCGAGAAAGGAGTGGATGAGGAGAGGGGGGGACGGGGTGCGAAACCTGCTGCTTGCAACTGGTTCTGGCCCCGCCACAAAGCGTGTCCGGCGCCAGAGAACCAACTGCATGCCACTGACACGCTATTTCCCCCTTTACGTTCCCGTTCGTCCACCCCGGGAAGGAGCGGGTGTTCAAATGGCCCCGTGTTCTCGCGGGCGTCCTGAGAGGGGGGTTCGAAAAATATGACTGTGGGCATGTGCGCGGCCCAGGGGGGGGGGCAGGAGACGTACCGAAAGAAGAGGAAGCCATGAATTCTTGGATATATAATGGTCCTGACCATGACATCCACACTACCCTAGTCGGACGGTGCTAAGACGAAGATAAATCCGTTCCAGAACGTTCCTGAACTGTCTCAGGGCGTTCCGGAACGCTGTGAGGAAGCCGCGGTGCCCGAGACATCCTCAAGAACGGCCAGATCTCAGAGATTCTCGATTTAACCTCGCCAGAATGTATCCTCGCCCTGGCTTCGTCTCACGTCGTCATCACCTCCCTCCAGTCGTCACCCCTCCCTCCCTCGCCATCGCTCGGACGTCCATTCCCCGTGCATTCTTCGATTTCGTGCGTGCGCTTGGTTCGCAAGATGCTCCCAGATGCTCCTCGATGGCCCTCGCCAGGAAAAATCGAAACAAAAAGAGATCACGTCCTGGCGGTGCCGAGCTCCTGGGCGCCCCCGACCTCCGTGCCTCCGGGGGGCCCCCCCGGAGAGCCTCTCGGGGGGCCTGCAGAGACCGTCGGAAACCTCCAGGTATGCGCAGCAGTTGATCAATCCCCGTCCCCACCGGCGTGGGCCGGGCCCCACTGGCCGATTTAGCCCCCTATAGAGGGGGATGGAGGCCGTCTTCTTCGGGTTTCGAGGGGTGCATCCCCAACTGGGGGTGCAATCTGGTGGGGGTCTCGAAGGAGATGAACACGGGATGGGGATGGGGATCGGTTAAACGATACTGAATGGTAGGAAGAGGGGGAGAGAGGCAGAGAGAAGAGGATGACATCGAGCTGTAGCCGGGGAAGGCTCAGATCGAGATCAAGCGAAGCCAGGACGAGGATCAAATCGGGTAAGGTTAGATCGAGAATCTCTGAGATATGTACGGCAACTCTGGAAAATGTCTCGGGCGCCGCGGCTTCCTCAGAGCGTTCCGGAACGCTCTGAGAGCGTTCCATAATGCTTTAAGCACGGATTTACCCTCGTTATATGGCCCCGTCCGAAGAGAGATAAGGGAGAGAGCAGCAGAGTGGAACAAGGGTTACGGCCGCCCCTGGGACAGGAGAACATCCCTCAAGAGCACGAGGCCCTCCGCTGGAGAAACCGAAGAACACTCGAGGGTACCCTCCCCCTCCTCCTCCTCCTCCTCCTCCTCCTCCTCCTCCTCCTACCCCGAAGAACACCGATGCACAAGAACATCCAACAGACACGAAGAGTATCCAGATCGCGGATGCCTCGCCGAGGCGGCGCGACCGTCCGACCGCACCTCCTCCAGCCCCCCTTGCCAACTTTGGGAGGCCTCGAGGAGCGACCTCCTCCCCTCCTCGTGGGGACGTGACGGTGGTGTAGGGCCAGAAGTGGGCCTGGAGGACAAATCGCTCTGCACGTCCTCTGGAGGGAAATATATCGAACCCATGCCGAGTTCGCTCCCTGACCCCACCTTGGGCTAAACCCCTCTAGGAACTCGAACTCCCCCCCCCTGCTCCTCCTCTTGCTCCTCTTTCTCCTCCTCCTCCTCCTCCTCCTCCTCCCCCCCTTCTCCTCCTCCTCCTCCTCCTCCTCCCTTCTCCCCCCCCCCCATCCTGCCATCTCCTCCTCCCGCTCCACTCTCCTCCTCCCCCTCCTCCTCGTCCTCCTCCCCCTCCTCCTGATTGGGGGGGCCCGCCCCAAAAAAGATAGCGGCAGGCAGCAGGAGCTGGAGGGGGCCCCGCCCACCAGCCCGTGCCCCCCGCCGGCCACGGGACCCGGCGGACGCTGGACACGTGGGCCCGCCCGGGCTCCGCCGGGGGGAGGCCGCACTACGAACAGATCGGGTCGGACGACGAGGGCGGGTGGATCCGACAGAGCGTTGCTCCTCGGCGATCCCGCCGGGGCCAAACCGATGAGTGGCAGACTGTCCCATGCCCGCCCGCGAGTCACGTGAGTAGGGGGCCACATGCGGACCCTACCCCTAGACCCCGACGAGTTCTGGAGAGGAGGCCAGGGTTCACTTCGTTCGGGAGCTCACGAGCGAAGTGAACCCCACCCTCCCCCTTAAAAATCGTGGGGGGTAGGGGTAGGGTTCGCATGTGGCCCCCGAGCGAGGTGGTCGCTGCAGCCTCTGCTGCCGCCTCCAGGGCCTGGGCCCTCTGCCACAAAGGGCAGGCGCCCGCTCGCTTCTGGACTGTAGCAGCGAATGGCGCCGATGAGCCTCCTGGAACGTCGGCAGGAGGCGGGGCACGTCAGAAAGAGAGATAACGCGGCCTGCCCATAACTCGCCATCGAGTGGACGTCCATTCCCTGTGCATTTTTCGGTTTCGCGCGTGCATTTTTTTGCAACGTGAACAAAAATGCTCCTCGATGATCCTCGCCGAAGGAAAAGATGCACACGTCCGAGCGACGCCAAGGACACGTCAGAAAGAGAAAACGCGGCCTACCCATAAGCTCTCGGAGCTCCGAGCGGACCCGCGGATCGTCGATGAGCTCCCCCCGCCGGCGCGCGGCACGGGCGCCAGGGCCGGCGCGAGAGGCAACGCCAGGGGGAGCCAGCGCCAGCTCGGGGAGCCTGCGCGGGGCTCCGGGAGCTGTACATGCATGCAGTTCTTTCTCGTTCGATGCAGACGAGTACTACCAGAATAAGCGCTAAATGAAGAACGAGACCCATGTTTGGCCACGCGAGCGCCTGGATACACGAGGAGACAGACAAACCCATGGAGCGGCGAACCCCCTTTTCCGAGCACAAGCAAGCTCCGTAACTACTTCAGCGTCTTGCGTGCACAGTCGGGGCGTTGACCCAAGGAACCCTGCCTAAGGAACGAGGCTCACTTTTCCGCCATTGAAAACCTAAAGAAAACTAAAGGCAAACTGTGACACAAGTAAAGATGAAGGGGCCCTGAGACACACCACCAAGTACAAACAAATAAAAGGGTTCCCCACATTCTCCCCTATTTTCTGGGCTTCTGTCTTCCCCCCCACTTCCCATATTTTCCCAGATTCTCTGGGAATCGACGATTCCTCGTGTCCGTGTGCTATTTTTCCCCTCCTGACAAGAACACGGACCCCCTGCCCCGACTGCAAAAAAAAGGGTGGGTGGGCGAACCGGCTCAGAGTAGAGCTCGCCTTGTCTGCCGCCTTCTCCGACAAGCCCCCCCGGAGGCGCCAGAGGGCATCGAGGAGCACGCACGGGCGGCGGGGCCGCGACCCGCCGCGTGCCGCAGAGTTCGCACCCGGCCTCTTTCCCAACACCCGTGCTCGTCCGACCCGACGAGAGCGGTAGCACGCCAGGAGCGAACCGAATGTAGAAGATTATACGACGGGGCACCAAAAGTTGCGGGGGAGCTGTGGAACCAGCAAAACAGGGGGTCCTGCCGCTGGGAGATGGTTCGGGGTGCCTGAAGGGGCCCTGGGACACACAAATAAATTGACACAAATGACATGATTCCCCATGTTTTCCAATATTTTCTGGGTTTTTTTGTCTTCCCCCCCACTTCCCATATTTTCCCATATTTTCTGGGGAATCGACGATCAATTGTGTCTGTGTGTTTCTCTCCCTCCTGAGTGTCTGCCGCTGGGATATGTCTTGGAGAGGGCGATCACAGAGTCTCAATGACACCGATGCTTCTTTTCTTTTGGTCTGCGCGAAACTTTCTTAGATCATTCCTGGCTGAGACCGTCTTGTTTTGACTCATCGGGCTCCTGTTCGAAGAACATTGTTCTGCTATCTGAAACATGTTCGTGTTCACGATAAACATGTTTCTTCAACAACACGGTTTTGTTATTTGAACAATTGGGGGTTCACATTCAAAAGAAGCGTGGTGGGCCTCTCAGAGTGCCAGGGCCATCGGTCCCAGCTCAATGGTGTGCAGGTGCCAACAAGCAGGCTTGGAACCCGCTAAGTCAATCAGCGCCCAGGGCGCCGCTGCTCGATAGGCTCCCCGGGGCATTTCTTGCTGCCACACTAAACATTGCAGGCAAGAGTGACATTTGGTATGCGGCTTGCGGATAGTTGCGCGCTTGGCGCTTGGGCTTTGCCTTTCCACCCCACCCGAAAGCCGCGCACCATATGACACTCTGCCGAAGGGCCACTCTTACGTGTAGTCGACACTAGTTTGCCAATTGGCCAAGGTCTGGCCGGGCCGGGACCAACGCCCGTTGGCCTTCTTGGATACATGCGCCTCCCGAATGCGCTGCGCGGTGGCGGGTGGGTTGAAAGGCACTCGATAACCGGCATCGCCCTCTTTCTGCACGGCAAGTTTGCGTCGTGACGACCCCGCGTTGGTTTCTGATACCGCGTGGATCGTTCAACCTTGAACGAGCAGCAACTTTTCGATTGCCAGGTCGAGCCAGATCGGCCGATTCTGGGCCACTGGCGGCGTTCAAAATCGAACGCCCGCGGCATGGTTTCCGCCCTGTCGACGCGACGCGAACATGCCGCACTCCACCAATTACCCAACAATCACACAATATTGATACAATATCCTCTCTTTTCACTGCGTCCTGAAAATGCTCCGCCCCCCAGCGCACTGTCCTCTGACACAGGATTTCAAACGTGGGTGCTTCGTATACGCGTTGCTTCAATTCGAGCGTTTCCGGTGTCTCAAAATTGGCGGGATGCAAATGGGGGGATAAGTCCAAGGGGGGAGGGAGGCGCAACCGAGGTACAAATTGTACCTACGCAACACGGAGAGGGTACAATTTGTACCGACGCGACATGTGCGAGGATGTTAACGGGGGGAGAAGGTACAATTTGTACTTGCAACCCGCAGAGAAGGTGCAAATTGTACCCCAACAAAACGGTGCCGGATACTCATCCCCCCATATCCTGATCCCCCCATCGCCATCCGGCCGACAAAAAGGGGCTCCCGCTGCAGCGCTGGCCTCGTTTCAGGATCGGCGCGAGGGTCCCGCCGAAGAAGAACGGCGGTCTCGCCCAGCGAGGGCCACACTTCTGGATCCGAAATTCTCCCTCCTCGTCGTCGGCCCCCTCTTCCTCTTTTCTCTCTCCGCTCCGCTTGCCGGCCCGAGGCCACGACTGTGAGGCACTCCGCCAGTGCAGCAGCCTCCGAGGAGAAAGAGAGTCCGTCCGATTTGAACGCCCGAAATGGGTACGGAAAGAATGGGTACAATGCCTAACAACAAATGTTGTCCCAAACCAACAGCGGCCGCTGTTGGGCAGGCGGCCCTCTGTCTCAAATGGACACAGGCCGCGGCGGCGTGGACAGCGAGTCCTGTTCAGAATGAACAGGAACTGCTGTTGTGCATTGTACCCATTCTTTCCGTGCCCATCTCGTTCGTGCAGATCCGAGGCTTGGGAAAAGAGCCTCCCGTGGCCGGTGCGTGCGCGCCAGCGTGCCAAACTGCTCCTGTGCTCCGCGCAGATGCCGCACAAGTTCGGCCCCGCGCCCCACCAGCCGTGCGAGGCCGGTCGAGTTCTGAGGATCACGTCCGCTGGAGGGCCTCGGCGTCATCGACGAGGTGGTTCGCGATGGCATCACAATTGTCCCTTCCTTCTCCCTCCCCCGCCGTCCCCTGGTCCGACTGCTCCCGCTCCTCCTACTCCTGCTGCTGCCGTCCCTCCTCGTCCTCCTCCCTCCTCATCCACCTCCCCTTCCTCCTGCTCGTCCTTCTGCTCGTCCACAGCACGCAGCTCCTCTTCTCGGATGGCGCACCGTGGCAGAACATGGGTCGATTTGGGGGTTCCGGGTCCGCTATGACACCCGCCAGCGGATTCAAAACAAATCTAGCGTTGTGGGACGGGCTGGGTGGAAGGGACAGGATTGAAGAGGCACTGGGACACACAAATAAATACACAAGTAACAGGATTCCTAATATTTTCCCATGTTTTCTGGGTTTCTGTCTTCCCCCCCACATCCCATATTTTCCCATATTTTCTGGGGGATCGAGGGTTAATTGTGTCTGTGTGCTTGTTCCTCTCCTGAAGGATATCAGGCAGGGCGCGAGCGCGCCTGGCTCATCCTTCTCCTCCCCCCTCCCTCTCCTCCCGCGCCCCCTCCGCCTCCTGGCGGTCCTTCTTCTCCTCGGCCTCGGGCTCTCTGTTTCTGCGCTTTCTCTTCATCTCCTGCGGGGCCGCAGTGCAGGGCAGGGCAGGGCGGCGCCCCAAAGGGGCGAGCAAGTAGAAGCCCCTCCGGATCGTCGCGGCCCCTGGCAGGAGCAGCCAACATCAAATCACGACATCGGATCGGGTCGGAAAGAGGGAGAACATCAACATCAAGCTGGAATCGGCGATACATCGCGGATAGATCGGCGATATGCCCCCGATAGCACATCCGAACGCTCCTGGACGGAGTGGGCTACCATGTCCCTATCGGCGATGAATGGGCGAGTGGGGGTAGATGCAGCCCCCCTGCGCCTACCACCCCTGACGTTGCTCCTGAGGGCATCGGATCGGGCTGCACCGGCTCATAGTCGGGACCCAATCGCATCGGCCGCGCCAGGATGCACGGCGGCGCCATGCGAGCGTCGGGCCCCATCGTTTGGAGTCCCGAAACGGTGCGGTGACAGACCGTGCGGTGACCTCGAAATCCCCCAAGACCTCACCGCACGGTCCGTCACTGCACGGTCTGGGGACCCCGGAGGCCCCCGTCGCCGGAGCCAGCCATCCCCAAGACGCCCAAGATGGCATCAAAAATGGCCAAGATGGCCTCCAAGACAGCCCCGCAGCGCCCCAAGAGGGCCCCAAGTCGGCCCAGAAAGGCCCCCAAGACGGCTCCCGACGGCGTCAGACGTGCCAGGAACCCACCAAGATGGCCGAAGTTGGCTCGAAGCTGGCCCAAGGCAGCCCAAGAGGCCTCCAAGAGGGCCTCCAGGAAGGCCCGAAGAGGCCAAAAACATTGATTGTCCATTGGTTTTTGAAGGATGTTGACATTTTCCTCGTTTCTGCCTTCTGACGGCCCGAGACGGCCCAAGAGCCCCCAAAGATCGCCGAAAGATCGCCCAAGAGGCCTCCAAGATGGCACCAGAACGGCCCAAGAGGGCCCCAAGACGGCCCCAAGAGGCCCCCAAGACGGCACACACAGGAAGCCTTTAAGACGCCTAAGATGGCCTCCAAGACGGCCCTGGAGCATTCCAAGAGGGCCCTGAGTCGGCCCATAGAGGCCCCCCAAACGGCTTCCGACGGACCAGGAGCCCACCAAGACGGCCGAACATGGCCCTAAGATGGCCCAAGAGGCCTCCAAGAGGGCCTCCAGGAAGGCCCGATACTGCCAAAAGCATTGATTTCCATCGGTCTTTGAAGGATTGTGGCATGTGCGTTTGTTCTGCCTTCCGACGGCCCGAGGCGGCCTAAGTGCCCCCAAAGATCGCCCAAGAGGCCCAAGACGGCCCCAAGAGGCCCCCAAGACGGCCGAAGAGGCCTCCAAGACGCTCAAGATTGCATCCAAGACGGCCCAAGAGCCCTCCAAGACGTCCTCCGAGAAGGCCCGCAAGGGTCAAAATGGCCTCCAAGCGGCCAAGATGACCTTCAAGATGCCCACGTGCTCTCCGAAGGCTTTCCAAACCGATTCGGGGAACACATGGTCCGATAGCTTGGCAGGTCTGGCCTCAACGTTCGGCCACATAGGCGCTTCCACAACGGCAGAGGGCGGCGGTGATTCGCCGAAGGCGTCTTCGATCCGCCGCCCCCTGCCGATTCATCGCAGGGGTGCCTGGCGTGCTGGACCCTTTCGGTGTTGGTTTTGTTTTTCCCCAAAAGGCCAAAGATGGCCTCCAAGATGGCTCAGAGGACCCCAAGATACCTCCAAGACGGCCCAAGAAGCACCCAAGACGGCCTCATATGGCCTCAAGATGGCCCAGGGCACCCCAAGAGGCCTCCAAGACAGCCCAAGAGGCCACCAAGAGGTCCTCCACGATCACCCCAAGATCGCCCACGAGGCCTGCAAGATGGCCCCATGACGACCCAAGAGGCCCCCAAGACGGCCCCCAGAGGACCCAAGAGGCCTCCAAGACGCCCAAGATGGCCTCCAAGACGGCTAAAGTGGTCCCAAGATGCCCACAACACGGCCCAAAATGCACCCAAGACGGCATGAGATGGCCTCCAGATGGCCTAAAACTGCCCAAGCCAAGAGGCCCCCAAGAGGCCTCTTAGACGGCCCACGATGCGTCCAAGAGGTCATCCAGGAGGGCCCGAAGAGGCAAAGATCATTGATATTCCTGAGGTTGTTGGAAAGATTTTGACAGTTGCGTCGTTTTCAGCATTCCCACGGCTCAAGACGGCCCAAGACGCCCCCAATATCGCCCACGAGGCATCCAAGATGCCCCCATGACGGCCCAAGAGGCCCCCAAGACGGCCCAAGGGCCTCCAAGACTGCTAAGATGGCCCCAAGATGCCTCCAAGACGGCCCAAGATGCACCCACGACGGCCCAAGATGGCCTCCAGATGGCCCACGACGGCCCCAGAGGCCCCCAAGACGCTTCAAAATCATTGACGTTCCTTCGGTGTTTGAAAGATTTTGGCATGTGCTTCTCCTCGGGATTCCGACGGCTCAGGACGGCGCAAGAGGCCCCCAAGATCGCCCAAGAGACCTCCAAGATGGCCCCATGACGGCCCAAAAGGGACGCCCACGATGGCGTCTAACAACCCCTGATCTGCCCCACGAGAGCCCTAAGACGACGCAGACAGGCCCCCAAGACGGCTTCCGACGGCGTCAGACAAGCCAGGAACACCCTAAGACTGCCAAAGAGGCCCCCAAGAAGCCCCGAAGGCCTCCAAAAACCCTCCAAGAGGCCCCCAGGAAGCTCCCAGGAGGCCCCAGGAGTGCCCCAAGAGGCGCCCAAGAGGCCTCCTCCTCCTCCTCCTCCTCCTCCTCTTTCTCCTCCTCGTTTTTCCTCATGCTCCGCCTCCTCCTCTTCTTGCTCCCCCATGCGTTCCCAGAAGTCTGTCCAAACCGACTCGGGCCCGATAGCGTGGCCAAGCTCTGGCCCAGCGCTCGGCCACAGAGGCGCATCCAAAGGGGTAGGGGGCGGCGGTGACTCGCTGTAGGCGGCTTTGATCCTCCGCCCCCTGCTGGCCTGCTAGAGGGGTGCACGGCGTGCCAAATGTCTGAGGGCGGCTTGCTCTTTTTAAAGCTCCCCCTTAGGCGTCGGCCAATCGCGCCAGAGTGTGTGTAACGTCGGCTTCTTCGCTTAAGATGGCCTCAAGATCGCCAAGATGGCCCCACGAGAGCACACAGTAGCCCCAAGATGCCCTTCAAGGCGGTCCCAAGGTGCCTCCGATGCCGCCAATATGGTCCAAGATAGCCCAAGACGGCCAAAGAAGCGCCTAAGAGGCCCCGAAGATGGCCCAAGAGGCTTCCAAGGGGTCCCCCAGGAAGACTCGAAGAAGCAAAGTCATTGATTGTCAGTTGGTTGTTGCATTTGCGTCTGCATGTATGTGTGTTGGTTGCATTTGCGTCTGTTCGGCTTTCCGACGGCGTACGACGGCCCCAGAGACCCCAAGGATCGCCCCAAGATGGCCCACAAAGCCTCCAAGATGACCCCATGACTGCCCCAAAGACGGCCCCACGAGGGTCCCAAGACGGTCCAGGAGGCCCCCAAGACGCCCAAGATGGTTTCCAAGACGGCCCTGAAACGCCCCAAGAGGGCCCCAAATCGGTTCAGAGAGGCATCCAAGACGGCATCCGACCGCGCCAGACGGGCCAAGAACGCCGTAAGGCAGCCAGAGAGAGGCCCCCGCGCAAGCACACACACACAGACACACACACACACACACACACACGCACGCACGCACGCACGCACACGCACACGCACACGCACACGCACACGCACACGCGCACACACACACACACACACGCGCGCGCGCGCACACGCACACGCGCACACGCGCACACGCGCACACGCGCACACGCGCACACGCGCAGACGCGCACACGCACACGCACACGCGCACACACACACCCACACACTCACACACACACACACGCACACGCACACGCACACGCACACGCACACACACACACGCACACGCACACGCACACGCACACGCACACACACACACCCACCCACACACTCACACACACACACACACGCACGCACGCACGCACGCACGCACGCACGCACACGCACACGCACACGCACACGCACACGCACACGCACACGCACACACACACACGGACACCAACACCAACACCACACAGCACACACCACACACCACACACCTCACACCTCACACCTCACACCACACACCGCACATCACACAACACGCAAACACGCAAACACACAACACGCATCACACAAACCACACACACACAGCACACAACACACAACACGTAACACACAACACACCACACAACACAAGACACACAACACATACACATAAGACACACCAGACGCGCAGCACAAACAACACACATAACACAACCCACATCACACACACACACATCACGCAACACACAAGACGCAAACAGCACACAACACACACGACACACTCGAAACACAACACACACAACACACAACACACAACACAGACGACACACTCGACACACACAACAGGCACACAACATGACCGCAACATACACACAACACAAACAACACACACAACACACAACACACAACACACAACACACACAAAACACACCACACACAGGACACGCAACACACAACACCACACAACACACAACACACGCAACACACGCAACACACGCAACACACGCAACACACACAACACACACAACACACAACACACAACACACACACAACACACACCACACACACACACCACACAACACACAACACATACAGACAAGAACACACATACACACACCCGCGCAGGTCCTCACCTCGGCATCCCGGCTGTGATGAGAGGGAAAGATTGAAAGGGGCCCAGGGACACGCAAATCAATAGACACAAATCCCAGGTCTCCAAATATTTGCTCATGCTTTCTAGGATTTCGTCGTCCCCCCTACTTCCCATATTTTCCCATATGTTCCTGGGAGTCGACGTTTACCCATCGGTCGGAAGACGGATGTAGAAACATGAAGTAAGAACGGAGCCCCATGAAGAGTACGGAGAGGGTGAAGCCACTCGGTCATTGAAGTAGGAAGGCGCCTGAGGTATGTTGGAACCTGGGGACCCTACAATACCTACTTTCAACGACCGATGGGCAAATTGTGTCTGTGTTTGCCCCCCTCCTGAAAGATGGGCCGCCTCGCCCGAGGCTGAGGGCCGCACGTGGAGATGCCCCATATTGCGAGAATGTCTCAGGCGGTTTGCTTGTTTTAGCGAGCAGACTCGTCTGCGTTCACACACAGGTGCGAGGTGCCAAAGGTAACGCTTCTGGGGTGCCGGGTGCTTTATACTTTCGCCGGAGAGGGGGGGTCTGAATTGCTTCATGAGGTTAAGCGGGATTGGGCCACGGCCGGCTTTTCGTCCACGGGTATGCCCGCGCAGATACTGAATCTAACCCTCCAGGATGTTCAGTGGGTTGAGGGTTTAGGGTTCAGAACCCTAAACCCTGAACCCTAAACCCCATCAAAGTGCGAAGATGGGAAAGGGGGAAAGCACCGAGGGGCAGGAGAGGCAGGAGAGGAGGGGATGGACCATGACGCCAATGTTTCCGACCGCGGCCGCCATACAGTCAACCCGTACAGTGAGGATGCGCGATAAGGATGCAAGGGCCTCGGACGCCCAGTTCGAAGCTTTTCCGAGCGGGGCGCGGCCAGTGAAAGCGGCGAAGGATGGACCGAGGAGGCAAGGACGCAAAGGGCACCCTCGGGAAGGTTGAGCGTCCTTACTGTGCGGGTGGACTGTAGACTTCGTTGCCTGCCCCTCTCGGCCGAGGGCGGGGCCAGGGTGGTCGCTGCTGGATGACCCCTCCCGCGGGGCGGTGCGAGGGTGCAGAGTGGTTCCTGCATCCAAGCAGATCGTGGCTGGAGGCACACATGCGCGTCCGAGGGTGGGAACTCGCCATCGCTCGGACGTCCATTCCCTGTGCTTTTTTCGTTGTTTTTCGGTTTCGTGTGTGTGTGTTTTCGCCAAATGATCAAGGATGCTCCTCGATGGTCCTCGCCGAAGGAAAAATGCACACGTCCGAGCGATGCCAAGCACATGCGCGTCCGAGGGCGGGAAGGACCAGGAGACGTGCCGAGGCAAGCAGAGGGGGCCACCCGATGCAGGCGAGCCATCGTGGCTCCAGCCACGATCCCCCCACCCTCGGGGATGGACGGAACCACCTTTAGTACGACGTAGAATTACCAGCCTCGAACGTATCCCTATCCCTAAGATTGACACGCCAAAAGGCGATGACAATCTCAGGGATTCGCCCTCAAAACATAAGGGAATCCCTAAGATCGGCATCGTGATGAGGAGATGCCCAGCATAGGGATAGGGATATGTTCCAGGCTGGTAATACAACAGACCTGGCGGGCGCAAGCCTGGGAAACGACGGCCGCGGCACCCGCTCGAGAACCGAAAGCGGACAGTTCACGAATCGACGCGTCAGGGTGGGGGTTCTGTCCACCCACGACTCCCCCCCTAACGATCAACTCTAGGAGAAGACCAAAGAACGCTGCAAAACTTCAGGCGTTCCGCGTGGACTTCTTGAATCTGGCCTGGGCCCCCCTTCCCTGGCACGCGGAGCGCGCCAGGGGCGGCGCTGCCCCGGGGGAGGGGGGCCCATCGCGGATCCAAGAAATCCGCGCGGAGCGCCAAAAGTTTCTGTTTATGGCGTTTCTCGTCGTCTTAACTTAAGCTCCCCTTCTCGACGCCTGGTGCTTCGCCGGGCCGCAACTCCAGCATCCGGCGGCCGTTCTCGGGGCGACCTGGGCACCGCTGGGGAAAGCCCTCGGCGAGGCGCCGCCGCATCCCGAGGCTGGGAGACCGCGGGGACCCGACGAAAAAACGCCCGAACGCCTCGGACCTTCGAGCCCCCCTCTCGGCCGCGCCGGCGGCTGGGGCAACAGGAGAGGAGACGAGGCCTCGGCCGCCCCCCGAAGGGGAGAGCGGCTCGGGAGCGGGCGTCCTCCGGAGTGATCTTCACCTCCGGCAGGAACGCCAGGGACGGCATGTTGTCCTCCTGCTCGTGAGGAGGCGGCGCGGAGATGCGGGGCGCGGGGTGGTTCATAAGCACAGGAGGAGGAGGAGGAGGAGGAGGAGGAGGAGGAGGAGGAGGGGGAGGAGGAGGAGGGAGGGAGGAGAGGAGGAGGGGAGGAGGAGGAGGAGGAGGGGAAGGGGGAGGAGGAGGAGGAAGAGAAGGAGGAGGAGGAGGAGGAGGAGGAGGAGGAGGAGGGAGGAGGAGGAGGAGGAGGGGGAGGAGGAGAAGGAGGAGGAGGAGGAGGAGGAGGGGGAGGGGGAGGAGACGAGGAGGGGATTTGTCCATGAACACCGCCTGGGGGATCGAGCTCTGGGGGCATCGGCAGGCGGTGGACATTGATATTCTGGGGGCCCCCTCGAGGCCTGTCCGCCGCCCGCAAAGGCCGCCGAAGCTCGATCCCCCAGGCGGTGGTTGTGGATGAATCCGCACCCTCGGATCAATGGAGGGCGGGAGGGGGGGGGGGGGGGCGGCGGTCCAAATATACGCTCCGCCGATGGTTATTCGATTCTCAAGTCGCACCTCCCGCACCGCATCCCTTGAGCAGCAACGATCGCGCGGACTGGCACGATGCATCGCCGATAGATCGGCGATAGGTCACGACCGCGAATCCGTTTTTCTGGGCAGGTTGGGACTATCGGGCCCCTATCATCGATCAGAGAACCATTGGGTGTCGATGCATCCCCCCCTATGCCTATCCCCTCCCCGATCGTTGCCCCTGACCCCTCGCCTCACGCTGTGGCGCCGACCTCTTGTACATCGCAGCGCCGTCTGTAACGTTTGCTTCTATGTGTTCTGCGCGCAGCTGACCAGAGCACGCGTCCCGCGGTGCCCCCGTCGAGCACGAACCCCCGCCTCCCTCACTTCTCCCCTCTCCTCCCTCAAGTCGGCAGCGATCGAGGAGGGGAAGTGAGAAGGAGAAAGCCTTCCCAAAAAGCGGCGGGACTTCTCAAAAACCCTCGCGCCTTCTCACAAGTTTCCCGTGTCTTCGGGGAAGGCTCAGAAAAAATCTGAGAAGGCCGGGGGACTTCCGAGCCTTCTGAGGAGGCCTCCTCCTCTTTCTCGCTCCCCCCCTCGCTCGCCGCGGATCGAGGCCGGAAAGGCGCGGACTGTTCGGTGTAGGTGGGAATGCCAAGGGGGCTCGGGGAATTGTCCCCCGCAAACCATCACCGTAAACGAAGTGCATACATCATCTGGATTGTATTCTGTCGCCAAGAAGGAGACGCCGAGAGCGGTTGAGACATGTCGAACGGTGCATCTCACTCGAACGTGTATCTGTGCACTGTCCGGAAGCTGACTTGAGTCCCTGCGGAGAGCTGCAGGAGACGCGACGGTGCTTGAGCGGCAAATGTGCAAAGGATGAGCCTAAAACAATGAATCGAGGAACAAACAACCACATAAACATAAACTTTTGGAGGTCCGCGCGGACTTCTTGGATCCGCGCCAGGGGCCGCGCCGGAAGCACCGCAGGGGGGGGGGGGGCGCCCAGCGCGGATCCAAGAAACCTGCGCGGAGCGCCAAACGCTTATGTTGATGGCGTTGCTCCTTCTTCTGCAAATTCTTGCCAAAATCTTGCAAGAATCTGCAGGATCCTGCACCCGAACCCGGGTCAACTGACACCCCTTGCTCTGCAAAATCCTGCAAGATCAGGCGCTTTGGCTGACCCCCGTCTGACTTGACCCCCGTCTCTTGATTTGGACGCCCGAAATGGGTACGGAAAAAATGGGTACAATGCCCAACAACAAATTTGTCCCGAACCAACAGCAGCCGCTGTTGGGCATGCGGCCTTCCGTCTCGAATGGACACAGGCCGCGGTGGCGTGGACGGCGAATCCTGCCCAAATGAGCAAGAACTGATGTTAGGCATTGTGCCCCTTCTTTCCGTTCCCGTTTCGTTCGTGCCGACTTGAGCCCTGAGGGTCTAGAATTACGTTGTTCCCATCCTACTTGAAGATCACATACCAGAGATGATTTCGAGCACCCAGAAAATTGTCAAAAGAGTGTCAAAACAGCGTCGGGCGAGTGTCTCCCAGGGCCCGACTCGTGAAAACCCTTGAGTTTCGGCACTCTTTCTGGCGCTCGAAATTCTTTCTGGTGATCAAAGCAAAAATAGGTTGGTTGAGCAGGGACCGACCGTCCCGGCACTATAGTCCTACCACGAAATGTTCTTAGAACCCAAAAATGTTCTCAGAACAAAAACAATGTTCCGAGAATCTATAAAAAACCCGATGTGACAAAACAAAGCAGTCCCAGCCAGAAATGTTCCGAGAACGTCTCGTGGGAACCACACAAAAATGTTCTCAGATCGTTGTTTGGCAGAACTACAAGGCAGCAGGATTTCTAGTATATAGGAATGTTTAAACATGACTAATTCATGAACAAATGAATGCGTAAACTCATCCTTGTATTCATTAATAAACCCTTTATTTTTAATACATGGTCCGCAGGGGGAACCTGTATTAAAAACGGCGCTGTATGGGCGAGCCAGGACGCCTCGCCACTGCTCGAACTTGAGCCCCGAGGGCCCACCACAACGAGGCGCCCGGCTCGGGGAGGGGGGCGCCAGTCGGCCCAGGGACTCGTGAAGGGAGGCCCTGGGACACGCAAGTAGATACACACAGACAAAAGGATTCCCCACATGTTCGCATCTGTTCTGTGTCTCTGCCTTCCCCCCCCACTGCCCAGATTTTCCCATCCTTTCGCGGGAACCGACGATGAATTGCGTCTGTCTTCCCCCCACTGCCCGTATTTTCCAATCTTTTTCGGCGGTGGGCAAACCTCTCTTTAGCAGACCTCCCCTCAGTGAAAGCGGCCCGGGGCCGAGACCGACGGACCTGGACCCGCAAAGATGACGGCCGCGACGCCCGCTCGCGAACCGAAACGGCCAATTCCTTAATCGACGTGTCAGGGTAGGAGGTCTGTCTACCCCCGAATTTTCGCGGGAATGGACGATTCATTGTGTCTGTGTGTTTTTTCTCCTCCTGAACTCGGCGGGGGGGGCGCCGCCGAGGCAGAGCCTCGCCGAGGGGGCCCTCCGATCGGGCGAGAGGCCGTGCGCGTCGCGCGCCAATCCTCGCCGGCGAAGAGGTGGGGGCGCGGGGGCACCGGCGTCAGTGGGCCCTGGAAACGACAGGGCCGTTTTTGTTACCGGTTCCGTTTTGCCCTTTTGTTGCCGGTTCCGACGCCGCTTTTTTACCGGTTCCGTCGCCGTACGTTTACGGGTTCCCGCTCTGGTTCCAATCCTGGAGCCGTTTTTGTTGCCGTTTCCGGTCGCCTTTTTTTTGGCCGTTTCCATTTTCAAGGGATACTTTTTTGGAAACAATGAAAAAACGGCCCTGCTGTTTCCGGGGCCCACTAAGGCACTGGGTTTAAATCGGGCCTGTCCCCCTACATGGGGATTTTCGAAAAAAAAAATGAACAATAGCCGGACCGGCGCTTCCAGGGGAGGCCTTTGGGGAGTGGCAATCATCTCACACGACGAGGGAAACCCAGGGGTCGGCGAGGTGCACCACACAGCTTGCACCACATGTATTGCGCCACACAGCTTGCACCACATGTATTGCGCCACATAGCTTGCACCACATGTATTACATCACATAGCTTGCGCCGCATAGATCGTACGACATAGCTTGCGCCGCATAGATTGCGCCACGTAGCTTGCACCACATGTATTGCACCACATAGCTTGCGCCACATAGATTGCGCCACGTAGCTTGCGCCGCATAGATTGCGCCACATAGATTGCGCCCCATAGATCGCACAACGCAGTTTGCACCTCACGACTTGTAGAACATATCGTGCAGCCCTGACATGTGAACAGCGAGGGAGAGGGGGGAGGGAGGGAGGGGGAGGGGGGGAGGGGGGGGGGGCAAGCTAGGTGCGCTCGCGTCATATCTGACATCCTACCCCTCCCTCCCATCCCTTACCATGGCGTAGATCCCCTCTCTACTCGCACAGTCGGATGTCGAGCAGGGCAATGATTTCGAAAGGGTACGCGATGCATTGTAGAGCACGGCATGGCATGGCGTAGAAGAGCACTGCAAAGCGTAGTATCAACCTACCATTGCGATGCATGCCGTGGCATGGCACGGGACATGACGCCAGCGCTGCAGCGGGAGCACGAGTCGGAACGAGCGGAAGCGCGGAAATGAGGCCAACGCTGCAGCGGGAGCACGATTCGGAACGAGCGGAAGCACGGAAATGAGGCCAGCGCTGCAGCGGGAGCACGATTCGGAACGAGCGGGGCCCGAAAATGAGGCCGGCGCCTCAGCGAGAGCAGCATTTTGAAAAAAAAAAAAAAATGCAAGCGAAAACCCAACTCCGGGGAATCCTGTGTCTAAAAAAACAATACGCGGGGGGGGCTAACACTTTCAAGCCGTCATTAGGGGAAGAAGGAGAGTAGTATTCATATTGAGTAATTGTTAAGCCCAGAGGCCTCCGAGATGGGGTCGGAGTGGGCCTGACTGGAGGGGGGGGCACGCGAGAGGACACAGGACCCTTCCGAGGGCCACTGTGCCACAGGAACGCAGAAGGCATGGGTCGCGAACACACAGGACGAAAGGGTACCCTCGATTTGGCAGGGCCGACCTATAAATCAGCCTCGACTGCAGAAAGGGTCGGAGGATCGCGCCGCATCAGTGATCCACCACTGATGCATCTGCGATGCATCGGCGCCGTCGGCGTGGAGAAAGCACATCGGCCCGCATCTACGATGCATCGGTGACGCGGCGCGGTCCTCCGACACCCCCTGCTCGGACCCCGTCTCGGAGGCCGAGAGAGAGAGAGAGGCACCAGGCGCAAGCCGCGGGACGAGGGGGAGTCAAGAGGAAATCGGCGACACGCAGGAGAGACCCCGGGCAAGCGTGATCTCCGTTGCGCGACTTCAGAGAGGGGTGAGGGGGGGGGCCGAGTCCGAGCGTGCAAGCCGCTGCTATCGCATCGTGCTCGGGCCTCTGGGGAGCCCAGCGTGCCCGCACCGGAGGTCTCTCTATAGCGAAGGGTCACACTCACGGTGCAGTCGAGAAGAACCTGCCCGCGAGCGTCCTGGTCCTGGGGGATCGGGTTGCCGTCGGCGGCCAGGAACAGGTAGGCGTCGGGCAGGCCGGGGAGCTTCGGGAATCTCGCCCCAGCCAGGGGGGGGGGAGGATCGAGTAGGGGGACCGACTGCAGAACACTTTTCGCAGGCGCGACGGAGACATCCACGAAAACCAAAAGGTGTTATTACCGCTACTCCATGGACCTCTCCTTGGGTGCGTTTTGACCAGGATTTCGAAGCGAATCCAGCGGTGGCGACGATGGCCTCCCAGGAGGTCCAAAAAGGAGGAAAAAGAGTGAACGGTAGCGGCCATGGGTAATTACCTTATCCTCCTCTGAACCTCAATTCTAGTGCCACTCGATTCTGCAATCGTACTCCAATGGGTAGGGCGCCGTCCCGCCGCGCCTTTCTCCGCTCCGTCCCGCTACTGCCCTCCCTGTATATCTGGAGTGAATGTGGCATGTGTTCGCTAATTTGTTCCGAGGCCGTGCTGCCAGTGACCACGACCAAGACCGACCGCGGAAGCGTCGGTGTCGGTCTTCTCGAGCAGGGCCGTCCTGGCGTTCCATATAAGCCTACCACGGGATGTTCTCAGAACGACGAATGTACTAGGAAGAAGAACGATGTCTTAGAACATAGAGCAGACACACATATCAAAGCCAGATGGCCTCAGCCAGAGATGCTCTAAAAACATTTCGTGCAGGCCACAGGAGGTTCTCAGGACATTCTTGAGCGGGCCTGTAGCCAGTAGGCGAGCAAGGACGCTCTGTCCAATGTCGGCGTCGACAGAATCATTGCCCTCTACTGCAAAATTGGATGACTTCCTCATCACACCACCGAATTTGTATTCCTATTCGCTTTGTTCGCGCTCCCGCCGGCCAACCTAGGTACACCAATGAAACAACCAGGCGCGTTCGGGCCAATACTGCGCCAGCATTGGGCTGAAGCCATGCTCCGGGTGGGCCAGAGTTGGGCGGGCTGATCTGGGCGAAGCCTGGGCTAACACCGGGGGTGGGATCTGGGCTACATCCGATGCAAACCTCGGCTCGGCGAGGGTCGTACGTCGTGTGCGCTCGAGGTTGTGCGGCGATAGCTGCCAGGAGAAAATGAGGGCGGAGGAGGAGGAGGAGGAGGATGACTCAGGTGGGGCTCCCTATGGGGCCACGAAACACTGTACTGGGTGGGTGAAACGCAGGGAGGAGGGGGAGGAGGGAGGAGGAGGGAGAAGGGGAGGAGGAGGGAGGAGGGAGGACGCGGGGCGCGTCTCTTCAAAACGAGGACCCAACACCACAGGATGGTGGAAGAACAAACAAAATTTTCCGCCGGGAAAAACTCCTCAAACCGTATGATCACTCCAGGGTGCCCTACCCCAGGATGCACAATAATATCAAACAAACAAGAAGAGCAGTAGGGTACAACCCCTGCCTGAACCAACCTCGATATAATACCTCCGTCCGACCTCAACTACGTGGACCAAACAAATAGCGCGCAACCGTATGATCCGGGAGCCTGAAACATAAGATCGTGAGGCGGCCAACGCGGCAAACGGGAATGAGATCTGGGCAAACGGGGAGGGCGTAGGAGGATGAAAAGGAGGAGGAGGGCGAGAGAAGAAGGACGAGGAGGAGGAGGTGGCAACGATGTTGGAATAAACCCTCCCTCCAAGCTCCCTCTTCACAGGATCCTATAAGGACTTATTTCCACTGAAGGAAGTGCCCCGTTGGGAGACAACCAACCAGTTGAAGATCTTCTAGCGTGCCGAAACACCATTCTCGGGACTCCAACGCCACGAATCAACATGACTATTGCGCCTTGCCGATCCTGAATCGTGCCAGAACGCCTGTCCTGGGATTTCAACACCGCGAATCAATCTAACTGCTGCGCCCTAACAATCATGAGTCGCTCCGAAACACAGGAAACTCTTGCAACTATTTGATGCGAATGTGCGCGGCGCTAAGGCGAGAACCACATGTTGAAAAGGAGCCGGCCTGAGTCAATGCAAATCCTGCGATACTTAAGGTAAGTGTGCGCGGCGCTAAGACGAGAAGCACATTTTGAAACGAAACCACCCTCAGTCCGCGGACCTCGTGAGCTTTTCAAGATATGAGTGCGCGGCGCTAAGGCGAGACACACATTTTGAAAAGAAACCACCCTCAATCCGCGAACCTCTTGTATTTGTACCAACGAATGTGCGCGGCGCTAAAGCGAAAACCACATTTCGAAGAGGAGCCGGCCTGAATCAATTGAAATGCTCCGATGATCAAGATAAGAGTGCGCGGCGCTAACGCGAGAACCGCATTTTGAAACGAAGCCACTTGCATGTGTATGAACAGATGTGCGCGGCGTTCACACCATAAATACATTTTGAAAACGACCCACCCTAAGGCCGTGAAGCTCCTGCAATAGTTCGAATCAAATGGGCGCGGCGCTAATGCGAGAGCCACATCTTTGAAGCGCCCCGCCCTTCATCTGTGGAATTAATGCAAATTTTCGAGCGTCGAAAACATAAGCGGCAAGGAAATCTCAAGCGAAACGCGCGGCCTGCCCTTCCGACCGGCGTCGGGGTACGACAGGGAGGAGTTATCTAGAAGGAAAAGGACTGGATGAGGAGGAGGAGGAGGAGGAGGAGGAGGAGGAGGACGAGGAGGAGGCGGAGTAGGAAGAGGAGGAGGAGGAGGAGAGGAGGAGGAGGAGGAGGATGAGGAGGAGGCAAGGAGGAGCGCAGGAGGAGGAGGAAGAGGAGGAGGAGGAGGAGGAGGAGGAGGAGGAGGAGAAGGAGCAGAAGCAGGAGCAGGAGGAAGAAGAGAAGGAGGAGGAGAAGGAGGAGGAGGAGGAGGAGGCTGCCGTACTCGTCCGAGGCCAAGCTTAGGAGGCGTGGGTGGGGCTTTCCTATAGGGGGATCGGCAGCCTGGATGGGGGCATGGACCTCTCCCAGGTTATCAGCAGTCGCTTCCCCTAGCAGAGCTTGAGGCCATGATCCAAGCCCTGAGAAACACACAGCTGGCGCCAGTGCTGGCGGCAGACTCAGCAGTCACGACTGCGGAGGCCGCAGAGGGTCGCTCTTATCGGCGGCGGACAAACCTCCCTTCAGCAAATCTCCCCGCAATGAAAACGGCCTGGGGCCGAAACCGACGGACCTGGGCCCGCAGACACGACGGCCGCGACGCCCCCTCGCGAACCGACAACGGCCGACTCCTTCCTCGGCGTGCCCGGGGCAGGAGGCCTCTCCACTCCCGAGGGCTCCGGGAGGCCGCAGCGGGCCGCTCGCGTGCTCGTGCCCACAGCCGAGGCGTCGCGCGAGACCCGCCCGCCCCCCCCCGAGAGGGTGTGGACGGCCCGCCCCCTGGCGGCCGTGGCTCGCGCGAGCGGTTTCCGCAGCAGGCCGGGCGGCGGAGGGCGGTGGGCACCGGGGCGCGGGCTCGCAGCGCAGGTGGACCACCCACAAGACCACCCCAACCCAACCCGAAGGCACGACGTTGACCCGAATTTCGGGTTGGGGGGGTGCGGGGGCCAGGTGTTTTTCGATGTTGCCCCCCCCCCCCCCTCCCCTGGAGATGGAGGGCCGATGGAAGCCTTCGGGTTGGGTCGGGGTGGTTCGGTGGGTGGTGACGCGTCATACAGGAGGTCGCTCGCCTGCAGCCGGGCTCGCTTGGACGGGACACGCCGCGAGAGGGCACGGGACCCTTCCGAGGGCCACGCTGCCACAGGACTGCGGGAGGCGCGGGTCGCGAGGCACGGGGCACACGAGGGCACACCCCTGGTCCGGCAGGGTCGACCCACGGACCCGGGCCGCGAGCAGACGCGGTGGCCCTGAGAGTCCGGAAGCACATCGCGGCCAAGGCCTCCGCACCGCGGCTAAGGCCTCCGCATCGCGGCATACGGCTAAGGTTCGGTCGGGCGTGCCCCCCTACAGAGGGATTCTCGACGAAAAATGAAAAATACCCCAAACATGTACCAAAAAGGTTAAAACATACTCAAAAAATAGTCCCCAGATAATTGTTTGACTATTTGTTGACTATTGTTGATGTATTTTTCAGGGGGACAGGCCCGACCTAAGGCTAAGGCCTCCACATCGCGGCATACGGCTAAGGGCATCTGCTAGCCGCGCGCCTCCACAGCGCGGCCAGGGCCCCACGGCTGCGCGGCCCGAGCCCGCGGGCCGCCCGCGCCGCCGAGGCAGAGCTCCGGGGCAGGGCGCGGGGCCCGAGGGGCGGCGGAGGGCGGGGCGGCGTCGGCGCGCAGGGCCGGGCACGACACCCTCGGTGCCTCGCTCGGCCCTCGGTCGGACTTGGGACGTATGGATGGCAGGGGGATTTGCGACGAACAATTACAACAAAATATTCAAAAAAATAGTCCAAAATTACTCTGGGGACTTTTTTCTGATTATTGTTTTGCCTTTTGGGGGCATTTTTGGGGTATTGTTTATTTTTCGTCGAAAATCCCCCTGTAGGGGGAAAGGCCGACATAATGCTTCCCCCTGCTCCCAGGTGCCCGCGGGAATTGGCCCCTCCCATGGGCTGGACGTGTGCGGGGGCCTTTTCTGGTGTCAACTCTGCGGGGCCACTGGGACGGGGGGAAGATCCATGGAGCTCGGCAGAGCCTGCCGACCTGATCCTTGGGGGAGGAGGGTACTGAACGCCCTCGAAGCAGGGCGGCTTCCCCCAGGCATCGGTGACTGCCCTGGGCCAGCCCAACCTGCTTGGCTCTCGGTGCTGGCGCGCCCGATTCTGGGACGCCGCGCTGCAATTCCTGACGGGGGCGCGGAGGAGGCCGGGCCGCGGCAGGGCCCCGGCGGGCTCGCGGGCCTCTCGCCGAGCAGCGCTCGCAGCCCTGCCAGCGACGTGGTGGGGAGGACGTCCACGGAGCCTCGCATCGGGCGCGCGCGCGCGCTAGCATGGATGAGTCGGCGGCGCGCCCACGGGAAAGACAGAGGGGGCGCGCCTTCTCGGAAGGCAGAAGTTTCTGAGAAGCCCCGCCACCACCTCCTCCCCCTCCTACCTCCTCCTCCTCCTCCTCCTCCTCCTCCTCCTCCTCCTCCTCCTCCTCCTCCTCCTCCTCCTCCTCTTCCTGCTCCTGCTCCTGTTCCTGCTCCTCCTCCTACCTCCTACCTCCTCCTCCTCCTCCTCCTCCTCCTCCCTCCTCCTACCTCCTCCTCCTCCTCCTCCTCCTCTTCCTGCTCCTGCTCCTCCTCCTACCTCCTACCTCCTTCTCCTCCTCCTCCTCCTCCCCCGCTGCCCCCTCGATCCTCCCGCCCTCTGCTCCCCCTCCTCCTCCCCCTCCTCGTCCTCCGCCCCGCATACTCCAACCCTTTCCGTCTCCGTATTGCACTCCCAGTCGTGTCGGTAGGCAAGATCGGGCGATTTGCCTAAATCTTCCTCACCGTCCATAATTCGACTAAAACTTCACATTTGCAACCGCGGATTGAGGCGGGGTGGTTTTTAAACTGTGGTTTTGCCGTATAGTGCCGCGCACATTCGCCTCACAATTCTGCAGCACTTGCAGGTGTTCTTGAGGCTGAGAACCCTGGAACGGCATTCTCACACGATTTAGGATTGCCAGGACGCGACATGCAAGCGTGTTCGCTATGTTGAAGTCTCAGGAATGGTGTTCTGGCTCGATTCGAGATTGTCGGGGCGCAACAATCACGTTGATAGGCGCGGTTGAGATTCCAGGAACGGTCATTTGGAATGATATGGGATTCTCGCACGATTTCAAAATTGAATTTGCACTGGTTGTTCTCCTTCTCCTCCTCAACCTTTCCACCCTCTCCCCCTCCTCCCGTTTTTTTTGCGCTCGGCGAACTTAAACAATTGGGCAGGAGCGCCATGCTGGTGAGATCAACGACTTCGGCAGAATGGTGAACAACTTGAATCGAGAACCAGTGCGGAAAACGGAATGCAGAGAGAGAGAGAGAGAGGCAGAAAGCAAGGTGGTGTCCGAGAAAGCAGGACCAACTTAGAGTGCCGCCCCCTCCTCCTCTTCCTCCTCCTCATTGGCGAAGAGGAGGAGGACGGTGAGCAGAGGGCGGCGCATACAAGCGCCACCTGCTCCTCACCTCCTCCGCCCACCAGAAGTGCTTCACCATCTTTCGTGGGCCGTCCTTCTTTCTCTCCGTTGCTGGGGTGCGCAAGCCCTTGATCTGCCCCCGTGCCGCCTCTAGTTTGGGCTTGAAAGGCGCCACGAGGCTGATGTCGACAAGCTCCGTGAACGACCTGATCGAGTGTTTGCACCCGTTGGTTTTCTCTTGTAGCGCCGTGCGGATGGCGAAACAAGGCGGTTTGTTGGACGCCTTGGCGCAACCGTCGATGCGTGAACCCTTGCCGTCCCTTTCGGTCTTGAACCGCTTTTATCTGCCCACATCTGCTTGAGCTCGTCTTGCAGCTTCTTGAGCTCCTTTGGTTGATTGCTCAACGGGGAAGCATTCTGTCGCAGGCCAACTCCTCCTGCAGACTTGGAAAGTGAGCCCCTGGGCAGCCGCCCCTGCCTCGCGAGCCTCACGTTCGGCTCGCTTCGCGTTCGCCGCGGTGCGTGCTGGAGCAGACTCCTCCTGCAACGACGCCCGATCGTGCACGCCCCGTCCGTGCCCGTCCCGCAAACTGGGGCGCAGCCCCCGCGTGGGGTTCAGATTGCCAGGTCTCGGCAAGCACTGCGAGGGTATTTCTTGTGTGGTGGAAGATGAAACATCTCGTCTGCCTGAGTGCGCGAGCCGTGAAGACAGACGAGGGTGACTGCCGCCGCGAAGCACCCTTGGCTGGCCCGCCTTCACGGGCGGCGCCGCCGCCGTGCTGCCGATGCCGAGCCGCGGCGTTCGCCGAGGCGCGCAGCCACGCCCTGCCGAGAGAACGCCTGCAGGCGCGGCGCGGACGCGCCCGCCCGGGCAGGCAGCGGCGGCGCGGTGCGCTGCGCGGCGGCGCCGCGCTCGACGGTGCGCAGCGGCCTCCCTCGGAGCCGCCGTGGCCGAGCGCTGATCTCGGCGCGCGCGGAGGGACCCTCGCCGGCGCTGACACGCGCACGCAAGTGACAGCACCGCGCGAGCCGGAGCCAGAGGAAGGAGAGGAGGATTGGGGAACGGTGAGGGGAAGGACTAGTGCGGTGGGTCTCACACATTCTGGACCTCTCCCTCTTCCAACGCCCTCCCACATCCCTGTACCTCCTTTTCCCTCCCTCCTTCCCTCCCGCCTGCATTGTTCCTCCGTCCCGCTGGTGGCAGTCTCCTCTCTTTTGACTCCCTTCTCCCTCCTTCCAATTCCTCCCTCCTCCCTCCTCCCTCGTTCGCCCCTCTCACTCGTCCCTCTTCCCTTGCTCATCCCTGCTCTCCCTCCTCCGTGCTCTCGTGTCCTCTCGTCTCCCAGCTCTGTCCTCTCTCCACTTCTCCACTCATGCCCGCTTCTGCTTCCCTGGCTGCACCCTGCACTCCACGCACCACGCAAACCCACCCAGCATCCCCACCCCATGCGCTTCAACGCTAGCACCTCCGGAGAGGAGTGAAAGAGGGAAGGGACGGTACGAGAAGGAGGCCGGACGACAACGGGAGGGAGGGAGGGAGGGAGGGAGGAGAGGTGGCTGGCAGGATGACGACGAGGAGGACTCGACTTCCGACGGATCACCTCTCTCGAGCCGCTGGCCTTACCTCGAACCCACTGAATACTAAAGACTAACTTGAAGGGGCCCTGGGACACACAAATAAATACACACACAAATCCCAGGATTCCGCATATTTTCCAATATTTTCAAGGATTTCGTCTACCCCCCCACTTCCCATATTTTCGCATATTTTCCGAGGAGCCGACGATTCATTGCGTCTGTGTTTCTTCCCCTTCTGATAACCTTCCCTCCTGGACGCTCTTGGCACAAGAGAAGCGAGCCTCGAGGGATATACGGGTCCTTGCCCCTGGGCCCGCCCCCCCCCTCGGACCACCTGCTCCGTCCCGCCACGCTCCCTGACATCCGGGAGCGGCCAAAAGGGATGGCCGGCGGCACGTGCGCGGCCCAGCGGGGGGGCCAGGGACGTGATGAAATAAGAAGAGGCGCCTTGAAATCCGGGGAACTATCATGGCCCCCGCCATGATATCTACCCCCCCCTAGTGATCACCCCCCTCTCTGCCGCCCCCGATGACAGCAAAGGCCTTCCGGATGCGGTCCGAGCAGATATGAGGTCGGAGGAATGCGCCGCGTCGCCGATGCATCGGCGATGCATCGGTGATGTGCGCGCTGCATGGCCGAGGCGTCGGCGTGGGGAACATCGGGTTCCACATCGAGCTTCCTCGCCGATGCAGCGGCGAGGCAGAGCGATCCTGCGACCCCATCCGTTCTGATCCCAGCAGAGGGCCCACTCGGCGACCCCCAAGGGCGTGGTTTGCAAGGGGTGTGGTTTGCAACCCGCACCTGGATGCTTCCAAGAAGGCCGCCTGGAAAGTGGGAGGGTTTCTAAAAAGGGCCCTGCCTTCTTAGAAGCCCCCTCCGCCTTCTTAGCTGGAATCGGAAGTGCATCGCCGGTAGATTGGCGACGGGCCTCCGATGGCGAACCTGCGTCTTCCCGGGGGAGGACCACGACAGAGATCTCTGCCGCGCTCCGACGAGGGCTCATCAAACCTTTGGCGCAACGTGGTGATACCCTAAACCCCGAGGGCGCCAATCGCAAACAACAGCTCCAGCACAACCACACCCCAACGCAACCACGCCCCAGCGCGGCCACGCCCAACAGAAAACCGCGAAACCCCTGACGCGATGGCTTACGCGAGCCGCCCGTGCGGCACGCCACATCTAAAGCAAAGGCACCTGCGCGCGACCTCACGCGGGCAGCTGGCGCGCCAATGTCGGCGCAAAAGGCCCCCTTTCTGTTTGCGTCGCTCATGTTTGGGCGATACCGACCCCCGCCGAGGAGGCGGAACGCCTATGACCTTGCCGTCCAGGCTAATGGCCATGGAGTCCTCCGGCCTCCTGGCCGACGCCGCCCACGCCGCCGTCCTGCGCCGGCGGCGAGGGGGGATAGAGGGAGGGGTGCAGGCCGCGGGGGGTCGGAGGGCCGGACAAGGGGCCACGCGCGGCGAGCGCTCGTTAGGACGAGGCCAAGGCAGGGACAACACCGACCAGGGACAGATCGGGGATCTTTGAGATCCAGCGGTTCTGGAAGCCGCCTCGGGCGCCGCGGCCCTCCTGTAGCGACCCAGAACGCGCCGAAAGCGCGCCAGAAAAGTTCTGGAACGATCTCCCTGGTCGCGGGCCCGCCAGACTCCCCGCGTGGCGCCCCGTCTCCCAGAAGAAGGAAAAAACGGGAACATAAACATTCGGCGCTCCGCGCGGCTCTCTTGGATCCACGCTGGGCCCCCCTCCCCGGAGCTCTCCGCGCGCCGGGGGCGGCGCCTGCCTGGGGGGTGCCAGCGCGGATCCCAAAAGTCCGCGCGGAGCGTCACAATTTCATGTTTCTGTCATTTGTTCTTCCTCGATATCTGTCCAGGTCCGCGAGGGATCGAATCGCGGAGGCGCCGCCAAGGGGGCCCAACGCGGATCCTGGAAGTCCGCGCGGAACGCCACAAGTTCACACTTATGGCGTTCTCGTTTCTCCTTCGATATGTGTCCAGGCCCGCGAGGGATCGAATCGCGAGATCGGGTCGTGCATCGAGAAAACTCTGAACCGACTTGCCCATCCAAGAAGCCCGCGCGGAACGCCACAAGGTTCTGCGCATGGCTCTTTTTCTCCTTCGATCTCTGTCCGAGCCCGCGAGGGATCGAATCGCGAGATCGGGCCGCGCTGGAATGTGCAACAGGCGCGGCGCAAAGCGTGCCAGGGGCACAGCTGGGCGACTAGGGCACGAGCCCGACTGAAAGGAAAAGAACCCGAGCACCTCCCCATCAGGGGAGTGCTGTGAGGCGCAGCAGCGCCAACGGTCCAGGGCCATATCCCCGTGGCGCGCTGAGTGCGCGAAGCAAGGCACGCAAGGAGACCGTGTTCCGCGCGCCCTGTTCGGGGTAGGGGGCGCCAGAATCCGTGTTCCGACGCCCAACTTACCCACCACCCACTCCATGGGTGGCCTCTGGCGACGAAAACAATCTTCTCTCGGACTCCTACGGGCAAACGACGGTGACGATCGGGCTGCTACCCGCCTGTTGTCCGGGGAAGGGGTCCCAATGGCACGGGTGCCTCGGGCCGTACCGGAGAAGCTCTGGGACGACCTGGAGGAGGAGGAGGAGGAGGAGGAGGAGGAGGAGGAGGTGGAGGTGGAGGAGGAGGAGGAGGAGGAGGAGGAGGAGGAGGAGGTGGAGGTGGAGGAGGAGGAGGAGGAGGAGGAGGAGGAGGAGGAGGAGGGAGACCTGCCCCTGGCCGAGGGGCGTGGGGCTCCCCCCCGTGGGCAGGGGGGGCGTGGCCACGTGCGGCGAGCGCTCCCGCGCGCCTCCCAGGCCCGAGCTGCATCTCGGGCCTCGAGCTCGGGATCGCCACGACCCTCGATCGGGGGCGCGCAAGCATCCGGGGGCGGTCAAGAGGGGGGCGTCCAAGAGGGAGGGGCGCAAGTCATGGCCGGCGGCACGTGCGCGGCCCAGGGGGGGGGAGGCCAGGGACGTAATGGAATGAGAAGAGGCGCCGTGAAATCAGGGGAAAGATCATGGCCCACGCCATGACATCCACCCCCCCACTAGGCATCACCCACCTCTTGGCCGCCCCCGAAACATGGATTATGGATCGGGGGAGGTGCCCTCCCCCGAATGCGGCCGGTGCCGCCTCGTTCGGCGGTGAAGTCCGCGATTTCCCATGGAAGCGGGACCCGTCGCTGATCCACGCGCCCGTGACCCGTGTTTGCGATCGCCTGAATCAAGGGGCCCCAGGGACACGCAAATGGACTCGACACAACTCCCAGGCTTCCCCCTGTTTTGTCCCAACACTTCCTGGGTCTTAGTCCCCTCCCCCCCCCCACTTCTCATATTTTCCCATCCTTTCCTGGGAGCCGACGACGAATTGTGTCTGTGTGCTTTTGCTCCCTCCTGACGGATGGGAAACGGACCCGGGCGCCAGCGAGCCGTCCCGAGCCGCACCGAGACCGAACCGCCGCGCCCGGCTCCAGCCGGCCCCAGCCGATGCCGGGGAGCCGCATCGAACCGCATCGGCACAGGCACGCCACTGTACCGAACCTTCTCCTCCTCCTCCTCCTCCTCCTCCTCCTCCTCCTCCTCTTCCTCCTCCGCCCAGGCGCCTCGTGGCACTGCCCGGCTGTGCCCACAGGCCGGCGGCGCGAGCTTGGGCCGCCCAGGGGCGCGAGCGGGTGCATGCGTCCACGTTTACCGTGCGGGCGGAGCGCCCTCCTGGCCGCCCCCGCCGCGCCGACCCCGCGAGAGCGCCCACGCCGGGCTCCGTGCAGCCATTGATGGGATTGTTTTCCACCACCACCACCATAAGTTGGAGGGGGGAAGGAGGAGGACGAGGAGGAGGAAGAGGAGGATGAGGAGGAGGAGGACCCCCTCCTCCTCCAACTTATGGTGGTGGTGGTGGAAAACAGGCCCATCAGCCATGCCTTCGGCGCGACCACCGCCGGGAGGCGAAAGTGCGCGGGCAGGGCGCCAGAGCCTCTCGGGAGCCGCAGGGAGCACGGCGGCAGCCTGTCGCGCCGCTTTGCCGAGCCCTCTCGGCAGGCAGGGCGCCCGGCTCCTTCGACGGCAGGGTTCGCCTTCACTGGAGGGGCCCTGGGGCACACCAATAAGTGGCCACAGCTAACAGGATTCCCCCTATTTTCCCGTGTTTTCAGGGTCTTCGTCTTCCCCCCCACTTCCCATGTTTTCCCATATTTTCGGGGGAATCCCAGATTCACTGTGTCCGTGTGTTTGTTTCCCTCCTGATTCACATGGGAGCTCGGCTGGAAGGCAGATGCGTCCAGGCTGTGCGGGGATGAAGGTGCCTCAGGCAATGGGAGGCAGGGGTCGGTGAACGTGGTGTCCCTGCGGCGGCAACGCTTGGGCGCCACAGGGCCACTGCTGGCATGGGGACACCACCCAGGAGGAGGACGACGCAGCCCAAGGATCAGACGAGTCTTCTCCATGCCGTGGGTCTCCCCCTCTACGCCGTGGCGTTGCGCCGCGACCATCGCTGCTATCGTCTCCAGAGTCCGAGCCATCTCCAGGGGAGCCAGCACCAGGGCCCCATCGTGCTCGAGGCGGGGAGCGCGGCTGGATCGTCACACTCACGTGCGAGGTGCCAGGCGACTTGCAGTGCAACCACCCGAGCGCCTAGCGAGCGGATCGCCGTCCACACTCGTTCCATGGCCATCACGCTCTCGGGACGCCTTCGCCCGGCACGTCCCGCTGGAGGACGGCCCGCACGGTCGTGCCTTGACCATGGCCGCGGTCGTGCCGAGGCGCTGGACGCGGCCATGCCGAGGCGCGGTCGAAGGATCGAAGAGGAAGAATAGAAGAATGACGAAACGGCATGAACGTAAACAGAAACTTTTGGTGCTCCGCGCGGAGCGCCAGAAGCTTATGTTTATGTCGTTCTTTGCTAGTCGAACGAGGACGAGGAGCAAAGGACGAGGAGCCTCGAGGAAGAGGACGCGAAGACGAGCAGGAAAGAAGGACGAGGACCGCAGAGGAAAAGGAGGCCCAGACGCCCCGCCCCCACCCACCCACCCACCCGCCGACCGGCCACGACCCAGAGGCTGCCTCGCTTGCTCGGGGGAAAAGTTGGCGGCGCGCACGAGGGGATATGGAGGCTTCCTAAACGAGGTCCGAGTAGGCAGGATCGCAGGATCGCGCCGCATCGCCAATGAATCGCTGATGCATCGGCGATGCATCGGCGATGCCTCGGCAATGCATCGGCGATGCACCAGCGACGTCGGCGTGGGGAAACGCGGTCTCCACATCGAGCCGCATCGTCGATGCATCGTCCATGCGGGGCCATCCTGCGACCCCGTCTGCTCGGGCCCCATCTGGGCGGCCGGGTAGGGGAGGGGGGGAAGGCTTCCTGGAAGGAGGCTGCTTCCTAGAAGGCGCTGGCCCTACATCTGCATCTAGGGTTAAGTCGGGCGTGTCCCCCTACAGGGGGGACATTGGGCGAAAAAGGAAAAAACACTGCAAAGGTACTCCCACATGGTCAACAAATACTATCAAAATAGTCCCCAAACTATTGTTTGGACTACTTTTGAATTGGCCCCCTGTAGAGGGACGGGCCCGACGTAAGTCGGGAGCGGCCAAGAGGGGGGTGTCCAAGAAAAAGGGGTGCAAATCATAACCGGCGGCATGTGCGCGGCCCAGCGGGGGGGCCAGGGGCGTAATGAAATAAGAAGAGGCGCCATGAGATCTGGGGAAATATCATGGCCCCCGCCATGATATCCACCCCCCCCTAGTCATCACCCCCCTCTTTTCCGCCCCCGAGACGTAAGGGCAGGGGAGGGGGTGGAAGGCTTCCCGGACGGAGGGCCTCTTCCCAGAAGGCGCCGGCCCTGCACCTGCCGAGGCCCGCGCCTTCTATAGGCAGCAGGGGCGCTCCACGGGGAGGCCCTCCGGCCGCGGCGCGCGGCCGCAGCGGGCACGGGCACAGGCACTGGAAGGGCCCCGGGGACACATCAATACATGACACGGATGGCAGGCTTCCCCATCGTTTCAGGTATGGTCTGGGTGTTTGTCTTCCCCCCCGCCCCCCTCCCCTGCTTTCCCACATCTATTTTCGGAGGGATCGACGAATCGTCGTGTCTCTGTGTGTGCTTCCCCTCCTGGGAATAACGGCGCTAACATAACCTTCCGGAGGACCGCGCGGCTTGCTTGGACAGGCGCGGTGCCCTCCCTCCCTGGCCTCGCGGAGCGCGCCACGGGCGGGGCCAGAGGCCCCGCCAGGGGGGGCTCAGCGCCGGTCCGAGAAATCCGCGCGGAGCTCCAGAAGTTCATGACTGTGCCATTGCTTCTCTTCGACTGCCCTGTCGTATCTCAGAGGCCGGTGGATTCTCCAACAGAGTGGCGGCTGTTGGCAGTCCGAGCACGGGCGCGGGGAGCGAGCGTCCACGGCTTTCTCTCGCAGCGTGCACCCCTGAGGCTGAGGCCCTTCCACTGGGGCAGTTTTGTTTTTCAACGCCCGAGTGGGAGGTTATTGTCATTCATGTGGTGCCTCCCATACCTCTCACGTGCTCTGACACTCTGGCTCACTCATACATAGTGAGTCTCACCCACACTCCAACATGCCACCACTCAGACCCACAAGCATACTCATGCTTAGACTCACTCATGGTCCTCCACTCGTGTTTTCACCAACCCATGCTCAGACGTATGCATCACTCCTCTCAGGTGTAGCACCTGATTTTGTCTTGGGGTAGACGTGCTCTCTCTCTCTCTCTCGCTCTCTCTCTCTCCCTCTCACTCTCTCTATTTCTCTCTGCGTGAACACCGTGACGTAGCAGGCATTGCATTTGGGTGTGAGAGGCCTCAGGGAGCTCCAGGTCTCAGGAATCCGCAGGAAGCGCCAGGGCGCCACAGGAAGGTCCAAGAATCTCCAGGGGGGCCAACAGGCCGAAGAGAGCCCGAGGGTGGTATGCTGGGTGCTGAACCAGCACTCGGCTAGGCCTCCCGTCTGCGGTCATACATGGATCCACTCCCGTTCAGATCTGCGCCACTCACGGTCAGATCAGCTCTCACACTCTGATCCATTCGCACTCACGTCCACTTACTATCAGCAACCCTGACGCATCCACTCGCACTCGAACACACTCGTATTCAGTCTGCCTCACACTCGGACTCGCTGTCATTTCAACCCCCCATCAAGGAAAGAGGAGGAACACAGATACACATATGGGGATCTCTAGGTCGAGTAACCATTCTGAACTGTGCTCTGACTGTGCTATGGGGCCAAACGTGAAACAGCCTCCGCAGGCAAACTGCCACGTCAAAGCAGTTGCTGTCGCGGTGATTTGTTGTGGGTAGCGCACAAACCTGATCGGAGGAAGAGTAGGGCGACGACATCTATATACAGCCACTGCTCCCTGGCCAAGCCCATCCTGAACCCGGCAGCGGTGTATACGCCACGCCCTCCTGGCTTGGCCAGGAGGGCGTATACACAGCTCCTATGCCCAGGAAGGAGATGTACAATCCAGTATAATCCGATCCCGGCGCCCGAAAGGGAAGGCCGAGGACGTCCTCACCCGTAAAGAGGAGCAAACAAACACTATATATAGTTTCGGAAGTCCCCGGGGACTTCTGGGGTCGGCGCTGGGCCCCCCCTCCCCCTCCCAGGCGCGCGGCGCGAGCCAGGAACGGCGCCAGAGGCGCCGCCGAGGGGAAAGGGGGGGGGACCGAGAACTGCGCGCGGACCTCCGACAGAAGTATCATGCGCGTGCACAGTGTTGCTCAGGGCGCCTGGACGTGGGCGCCAACATATCAACACGGGGGTATTCGCGTCCACGATGGGGGGGATGATCCTGGACGGCGGTGGTGGTAATCTCTCGGCCGCCTGAGGGGCCCAAATAGCACCACCACTATCGAGGTCAGGATCATCATCCCTCGGTGGGGTGCCTCTACAGGGGGAAGATGATCCTAGATTCCGGTGTTGTTGCTAATCTCTCGGCCACCTGAGGGGCCCAAATAGCACCACCACTGCCGAGGTCAGGATCGTCATCCCTCGGTGGGGGCAACCGCCGACTTTGGTGCTGGTGTCAACCCCGAGGCCCCCGACTTCTCGAGGAGGGGAGGAGGAGCCCAGGACGCCCCTCCCCCCCCCCCCCGGTCCTCTGGCTCAGCTGCTCGTGGGCCTGCCTCATCTGCGCCCGGTGGCTGCTGAGGCTCGTAGGCCTGCTCTCGGGATGGGGCGGCTGTGGCTCCACTGGCGGCGATCCCTCCTCTCCTTCCTTCTTCCTCCTCCTCCTCCTCCTCCTCCTTCTCCTCCTCTCTCTCTCTCTCTCTTTTTTTTTTTCTCTCTCTCTCTCTCTCTCTCTCCCTCGGCCATAGAGTTCTCCGAACGCGGCCATACCCCCTCCTCCTCCTCCTCCTCCTCCTCCTCCGCCTCCTCATTATCCTCCATTCCTTTTCCTTATAAAACAACTTCTCCCTGTCGCACCCCGAGCCTAGTCTTTAGGGCGGGCTGGGCGTTTCGCCTGAGACTTCCTCACCATTCATGATAATGAAGCTTAAAAAGTGATAATCGTTTCACGGATTGAGGGCGGATGGTTTTCAAAATGTGGCTCTCGCCTTAGCGCCGCGCGTATTCATTTTAACACTGTCCAGGAGTTTCACGGATTGAGGGCGGATGGTTTTCAAAATGTGGCTCTCGCCTTAGCGCCGCGCACATTCGTTTCAAAACATTGTAAGAGCTTCACAGATTGAGGACGGCTTCTTTTCAAAATGTGGCTCTGGCCTTAGCACCGCGCACATTTGTTGAGAAAAATTGGAAGAGTTTCACGGATTCCCATGACCAACGTACCAACAGTTGTGAGTTGGAAAGATTCACAATTATGCGGGTTCAAAATTATGTTGATTCGCGGTGTTGAAATCCCCCAAACGGCTTTCTGGCACGATTCCGGATCGTCAAGACGCAGCAGTCAGGTTGATCCGTGGGGTTGAAATACCGAGAACTATGTTTTTCCTATGCTTCAGGATCTTCAAACGGTTGTCTTCCAACGAGGCAGTTCCCTCGATGGAAAGGAGCCGTTGTAGAGGCCTATGAAGAGGGGGCTTGGAGGGAGGGTTGAATCCAACATCTGTGATGGATCTAGGGTTTACACTGGTCCTCCTCTTCCTCCTCTTCCTCCTCCTCCCTCACATCCCTCTCTCCCTCACATCCCTCTCTCTCCTCCTCCTCCTCCTCCTCCTCCTCCTCCTCCTCCTCCTCCTCCTCCTCCTCCTCCTCCTCCTCCTCCTCCTCCTCCTCCTCCTCCTCCTCCTCCTCCTCCTCCTCCTCCTCCTCCCCCTCCTCCTCCTCTCCTCTCCTCCTCCTCCTCCTCCTCCTCCTCCTCTCCTCCTCCTCCTCCACCTCCTCGCCTCCTCCTCCTCCTCTCCTCCTCCTCCTCCTCCTCCTCCTCCTCCTCCTCCTCCTCCTCCTCCTCCTCCTCCTCCTCCTCCCCAAGTGGCCCCTACTTCAGCATTTTGACCGTGGACCGCTGCCCACGGTGCGCGAGAGGATCGCAAACGTGGGACGCCCCCCGGCAGCCCCGCGGAGGCCGGACACCCCTCCTCGCTGCCTCGAACCACACAAGATACCGATACCATTACACGTCGGTCGGAAGAAGTAGGTAGAAACATGAAGTAGGAAGGCGGATACAGTGAAAACGTATAGTAAGGACGCGTGGTAAGGACGCAAGACCCTTGGAGGCCGAAGTTGAAGTATTCTGGGCAGCAGGCGGCCAAACCCCCAGGGAACCTGAGAAACTGGCCTGCGAAAATTGCTAGGGACAGGCCGCAGAGGCTGAGGCAGGCAAGGACCCAAGGGTACCCTTGAAAAAGTAGTTTGTCCTTACTATGCGCGTTGACTGTAGTGGATTGGGTCCAGGTTCTCCTAGAGAATAACAGAACACAGCAGAAGCGTGCCGATTCTTGAAGCAGGAGGGCGCTCGAAGTAGACTGGGATCTGGGAATCCAGGAACACCTACTTTCAACGACCGGCGTGCACTCCCCGGACCTCTCCCCGGGTGCGTTCTGACCAGAACTTCGGAGCGACTCCAGCGGTGGCGACGAGGGCCTCCCAGGAGGCCCACAAAGGGGAGATCACGAGGGAGAGGCAGCGGTACCTGTACCTTCTCCTCCTCCGATGCTCCTCGCGCAGTGGCATAACGAAGCCGCACGGAAGGCGTTCGGCCCTTTTTCGCCCCCTGCAGCAGTGGGCACCCTCACCTGGCCCCGGGGGTCAAAGAGCGGCCCGGGACGAGGGGCTGGCCGGAACGAGGTGCTCGGGCCTCTGGGGAGCCACGCCGAGAACATACCACGGCGTCGGGTGTCTGGGGACGCTCGAGCCCACGACGTCCCCTCGTGCCCAAGTTGCTCCCGGCAAATCCCGCCCGTCGCCCCACCAGCGCCTGCGCCTGCTCGGGCTCGCTTGCGCCCGCTGCCTGAAAAAGAGTCTGGGGCCACCCTTGGCCCTGTCCCTCTCTCCTTCTTCTCCGAGGCGCTCTCGAAGTCCCTCTCATGAACTACCAAAAGAGGACCCCTAACCTTTTGGGAGGGGGCCGAAACACATTCGAGATGGTGGCTCTTCTCTGCAGATGCATCGAACCAAACCAGCCAAATCTGTCATCCCTGATGCACAGACGGGGACCTCCGTGAGGCCACGGCTTCACTGTTCGAGAACTTCATCTTAGCATAAGCCAAGCTCACCGAGTAAGATTTCCCTCTCACACCAGTGGTCTTACCCTCGCTTCCTCGCGCTCGTCGTCATCCCTTCTTCCTCTCCCTCCTCCTCCTCCGTCCCATCATCCCCGTGGTTCTTCTCAACTCGAAAACCAACAAAGTGTATGAATGTGAGCTGGCGTGGACCCACAACAGTGAGCTGTTGCTCTGTGGAGGTGGGAACTATGTGGTGCGACTTGTGAGGTGAAAGTTGTGCCGTGCCAGCTACGTGGTGTGAGCTATGCTGTGTAAGCTGTACGGTGTGACCTATGTTGTGTAAGCTATGCGGCACAAGCGATGTTGTGCGATGTGCAGGGGTAAGAACGATGGGTGTAAGCTATGAGGTGTAAGCTCTGCGGTCTCAACTAGGGGGTGCCAGATGTGTCAGGTGAGCTCCCTGGTGTCAACTAGAGATGGCGTCTATGGATTGCAAGCTATGTGACACAAACTATGGCTTGTGATCACAAACCATAGTTTGCGTCACATAGATTGTTCAAACTAGATTGTGTATACTGTGCTGTGCGAGCTGTGTGGTGTACGCTGCGCGGCGCAATCTCAACAAGCACGGGGCGTCAGCGAGGCGCCCACGAGGAGGCACAGGCAACAAACCTTGGCGAAAACCCACCCGTGCCCCTCGAGCGCGGGGAGCCCACGAGGAGCCCACGAGGCGCCCACGAGGCGCCCACGAGACCCGCAGCGTGGCGAGACCCCGCGGAACCCATCTGGTTTCGCAAATGAAAAAAAGAGGACCCCCAGAGTGAAAGCACTGCTTGTCGTCGAGCGCGTTCCACTGCTCGCAAAGTGCCTGCTCGCAAACGTCCGAGAAGCATCTGCCTGCTCTGATCCAATATATCTTAGATCCCCCGCGAGGGATCCAGGCCACTTGCGAGTAGTTACGTTGCGAGTAGTGGAACGCGCTCGTCGAGTTTGGGGAGCACGAACTTTCGCAGGCACTCGCGGATGTCTCGGATCGGCGCTGGTTGCCCCTCGCCCTCCTCGTCACTGTCTTCCATCCTCCCCTCCTGAAGCGCCTCCGACTCCACGTTGTTGTCAACCCCGCCGCGCGGCTCCGTCGTCGGCGTCGCCGCCATCATCACAGCCGCGATCGTCCTCGTCGTCCTCTCTGATGCCGTATCGTCGACGACCCCCCTCCTCCTGGTATGAAAACGACGAAGGGGACCTGCAGGACATGGGTCCCTGGACTTCAGGACATTCCCTCCCAGGCCCAAATGTTCGTCCCGAATTGTTTTGGGACAGTCCTGGGAGCCCAGAAACGGCGAAATACTTCCATCGGGGATACAAATACAGTAAGGTCAACGCTGGGCGCCAAGGAGTCGATTGAGTGTCGCAGGAACCGCCCGAACACTGACCTCGCCAAGCAGCCGTAGAACTGCCACCTCAGAGCCACCATGAGTCAGAGCAAAAGGCCGGCCTTCCAAGCATCACAAAAGAACCCCTTTCCTTCACGGCGACCCTCAGCCGTCATCCTCCTGCGCTCCCGTGCAAATTCCCTGGCCCCGACTTCGCTTGCAAACGGCGGAGAAGAGCTGGGCGCTTGCTGTCGGTCTTCAGCAGCGAAGCGGTGAGCATCAGCGCCTCCTCCCAACAAGGCGATCTCGGCCCAATGGCCACCGATCCCCTCCTCATGGTCCCCGTCACCCGTCCCCGTCTCCTCACCCGTCCCCCTACCCTTCGCATAGTTTCAACAATCACAAGGGACTGGGGCTTTAGGCGCGTTGCTGCTCAGCAACTAGCAACGTTTGGTCAGGAATGCGCCAGAGCAGTTCGGATTACGTTTGCCAAATGCCCGCGGTCTAATACGACCAAAAGTTCGAGGCAAAGGCGAACTGGCCAACAACAAAAAACAAATTGACTAAATGTATTCATTCCGTCTTGTAAGTGGAATTGCCGTCACACCCGTAATCCCGTAATCCCGATGTTCTGCCTCGCCACCATCTGTTTGATGCTGCCAATTCTCCTCAGAATGTCGAGGGGATAGCCCGAAACCTCGCAGCTCAGGGGGAGGGCGGACGGCCTGATCACACGCACACGCCCCGCTCGCCTGATGCAGAGCTGGCGTGTCGGGCCAGCTCTTGTCTGTTCCTCGTGCCGAATCAGCACGCCTGCATATGCACAGCGTGGCAGCAAACGCGGCGTCGACGTGGCCGAATTGCCAGGCGGCCAACCGCTAGGCGGCGATACCACTCTCTCATCCACACCTGCAACGCTGTGGCAAATGCCGGATTCTGATGTTCTCCAGTCGCAAGCCAGAACTCACCCGACCCATCCCCTGGGGCTGTTTTCTCATTCTCGACTGGTGGTCCAGCCGTTCCGAAGCCAAGAGAAAAACCCTGAATGTCGGGAGGAACGTAAGACCTCCGGCTTGATCCAGAACCCCGATGCATAGATCTGTGGTAGACCTCCAAAGATGGACGGGGGAGGGAAACGGGAAGGCGAAGGCGGAGGGTGGGGACGAGGAGGACTGCCGCCAATCTGCCTACCTGCCTCGTGCTTCGTCCTGTCCCCCAGGCTGCTCCTTGGTCGTCGACTGGTAAGCCTTAACCAGGTCGGGGTCCTGCCCCGCCCAGCATGCAGACGTTCACACACACAGAGCGGGAGCGGGGGCGAAGGAGAGCCACGGAGAGGCGCGTGAAGCTATTCGTCGGGCAATGGTTCCGCAGGCCACTGGTCACTCTGAGCTGAAATAGTATTTCATATCTATATAGATGTATATATATATATATATATATATATCAATATACCGACTGATACCATGATCCAAAGCCGGGCTCGTCCAGATTAACCGTGCCAGGCAAACACACAAACACACACACAAACACACACGAACACACAAACACACACACACACACGCAGCTCCCGCGCGCACACACAGCACTCAATCGCACGCTTGTGCAACTTCTCCCTCAAGCAATGTGCGTCACGATCGCGGCGAATGTGGCAGGAGCCGCTACACGAATTGCACCCGCACGGGTGGCACACAAGTGCACACAGACACACACTCGCGCCTCATCCCCTTGTAGATAATGAATATCATTGCAACCGCTTGTCAGAGGAATGCCGCCATCAACTCTCACAGACGGAGTCGGATGTCTCCCAGAGTGGCCGCTCTAGTAAAAGTATACTGAAATGATGATTCGACGTGATAGGGCTCTGGTAGCAGACGTCTATCACACTTGCAGTTCTACGACGATGCCGTTCGAGTGGCAGGGAAGCAAACGTTCGTTGGAGGTGACAGGTCTCCAGCGTGCTTCTTCGTGAATTGCAGCTCCAGTTGGTTTCGGTTGTAACTTCAGTTGGACTAGAGAAACAAAAGTGACATAAACATAAAAACTCGGAGGTCCGCGCGGACTTCTCGGATCGGCGCTGGGGCCCCCCAGCGGCGCCTCCGGCGCCGCCCCTGGCGCGCTCCGCGCGCCAGGGAGGGGGGTCCAGCGCCGATCCGAGAACTCCGCGCGGATTTCAGAGTCTTTATGCTTCTGACACTTGCTGTTCCCCGAAGGATACATCTTCATACCATACAGTCATCGGCCTGACCTAAGGAACGAGAAATAAGGAACGAAGCCCCTTTTCATCCCAAGGAATAACGCACAAGGAACGACAAATAATAGATAACGCGCAAGGAACTGTAAATAACGCATGGAAAACCTAAGGAACGACCGAGCCCCTTTTGAAAAGTGAGTGTTCCTTATTCCAGCCCCTCGCTGTGGGGGAGCAGGCACGAGGAGGCAACGCCCCAGACCCATCCCGCCCGATGCCGAGGGAGGACGCTGGGGGGCGGGGGAGGAGGGAGCGCCGATTGAGGGGGGGGGAGGGGGGCGACGGAGGGCGACCGGCTCGGAGGGGCCGCTCGGGCAGAGCCGGGCGCCCTCGGAGGGCCCTCGGCGAGGCGCAGCTGCGGGAGGGCATGCAGGGTGCCGGGAGCCCGCCGAGGACCGACGAGAACGCTCGAACACTCGAAGCCTCCCCTTCGACACACCTGGCTGCTCATCCCCCTCCTCCCCAGGAATGGTGCCCTGGCACAGCTTAGGATTTTCAAACGGGCGTCTTCCAACGGGGCACTTCCTTCACCACTGAAAACGAACCCATGTGGGGGCCTACGAAGAAGCTTGGAGGGAGGGTTTATTGCAACATCGTTGATGAGTCTTGGGTTTACACTGGTTCTCCTCCTCCTCCTCCTGCTCCTCCTCCTCCTCCTTCTTCTCCTCCCCGTGCCGACGCCATTCGGTTCGATTCTGGGTAAAAGGAAAAATGTCCTTCTCCTCCTCCTTGTCCTCCTCATCCCCCTCCTCCTCCTCCTCCTCCTCCTCCTCCTCCTCCTCCTCCTCCTCCTCTCCCTACTCCTACTACTCCTATCCCGCCGCTCCCGGAGCCCCGGTCCGCGAAGATCTCCGAGAGGGCGCGGAGGGCGGCGCTGGTCTCGGTGTCCTTCCTTCGGACGGTCGCCTAGGGGGGAGCATCGTCGCCCGTCGACCAGGATTACCAGCCTGGAACATATTCCTATCCCTATGCTGGGCACCTCCTCATCACGATGCCAATCTTAGGGAGTCCCTTATTTTCTGAGGGCGGATCCCTAAGATTGTCATCGCCTTTTGGCGTGTCAATCTTAGGGATAGGGATACGTTCGAGGCTGGTTACAGGAGGGAGATGAGGGGAAAGGGATTTAGAAAACAATTCCTGGGAAACTCCTGACATCCTGGTGTCGCATGTTCCGTCACACAGGGCGTTCTCGACCGGTTCCAGGACCATCACGGAGCGAATACGGCTCGAACAACTGTCTGAGGAAGAGTGGGTCTACAGTAAGAGCTCGACCACAAGACGTCCAACCCTGAGACCCAAGGACGTCCATGGATGTTTGATATGGGGCGTACTTCACAACAAAGCCACCAAGCATAGAGTGAAAACGTTTTCCGTTCTCTTCCTACTGCTTGTCCTTCTCCTCCTCCGCCACCTCCTCGTCAATCTCCTCCTCCTTCTCCTCCTCCACTCCTCTCCTCCACCTGCTTAGCCGCGAAAGAACGTATGGCTTTATTCGCCCGGGGACCGTAATGGGCTGGTGGGGATACGCGAGGCGTCAACGTCTGCGGAGGGAATACAGCCGTGGCGAAGCGAGCCCGCGCCCCCTTTCCCAACAATGAGTGAGGGGTGCCGCTGAAACATTGATATTCGCTGCTGGTCCTCCTCCTCCTCCTCCTCCTCCCGCCTCCTCCCTCCACCCTCCTCCTCCTCCTCCTCCTCCTTCTCCTCTTCCTCTCGCATCTCTCCCTCCCTCCCTTCCTCCCTCCTCCTAAGTTGGTGAGTGAACATCTGTGGAAATAAAGAGATCAAGAACACGGGGCTGGGAAAGCATGCACCATCTTCGCACCGTTGATCATATGCGTTCCTTCGTCTCTCCTACTCTTCGAGATGTTCGCTCCTCCTCCTCCTCCTCCTCCTCCTCCTCCCCCTCCTCCTCCTCCTCCTGATCCTCCTCCTCCTCCTCCTCCTCCTCCACCTCCTCCTCCTCCCGCCTGCGCGCACAGCCTGCCCGCACCGCCTGCCCGCACCGCCTACCCCCTGGGGGCCGCCTGCCCGCACCGCCGCCCGGAGCCTCCTCCTCCTCCTCCTCCTCCTCCTCCTCCTCCCCTTCGTTATCCCCTCCTCTTCCTCCTCCTCCTCCTCCTCCTCTTCCTCCTCCTCCTCCTCCTCCTCCACTCAAGCCACACTGGCTTGAGGTGAAGGCCCAGTCGGGGCTTTCGGGGTTGACACCCTACTTTACGCCAGTCTGTGGTGCCTGCACGGGGCGTTTGAGGCATACCGTTTACATTCCATTTTGAGTGGCTCGGTAAACAAAGCCAGAGAATCATGTCACATGTTTCTTCTTCGCAGCGGCTTTGGAACCGCTGCTCTGTCTGCCAGCGGTGCGAGTGGGATCGTCTTTCAGAGCGTGGCGGGCTTTGTCTATGCGGTGAACGGATTCGCATGTATCGTGCTCCCATGGGCAAGAAGGTTTCGATCGATGACCGCACATCGTCGGTTCGGGGCCGCCCATCATCTCCTGCCCCCTGGAGGACCGCTTCCATGGGCCCCCAGCAAAGCCCCAACACCGTTGTCGATCACCTTCGGGCGGCGCTTGCAGCCAGCTCCGACCCCAATGTGAAAGAGGCGCTTCAGCAGCAGTTGGACCAGCTAGCGGCCAGCACGGCCAAGTCCGCGACGGCTCCCCCTTCGGAGGCAGCCATGATCTCGCGGGCAGAGGGCATCTGGCGAGACTGTAACCACAAGCACGACCAGGCGGTGGCCAACGTGCAGAGGCTGCGCCCCTCCCTCCGGACCGCGGTCGAGAAGGAGCAGGCAGCCGCTCTGGCCCTCGCCGAGGCCGAGATAGGCAAACGGCAGGCGGCTCAGGCTCTGGCGCGGGCGGCAGGCGCCAACACGTCCGACGCGCCAGCAGCCGAGGGGCCGACCCCTGCGTTCACTGTGTCGTGGGACACGAGCCTCTTCGACGATTTGGAGCAGGTCGAGGTCGAGAAGGCCGAGAAGCAGCAGCTCCGTGTCATCAAGTGGAGTTCGAGAAGATGCAGGCCATGTTCAATGCCAAGAGCACGGAAGCCCAGGCGTGGCTTGACAAGGCATCCAAGGTCAAACAGGACATCGCCGCGCACCTGGCCAGCAAGAAAAGGCGCACCGAGGACGGGGCTGCTGCAGGTGGCGGAGGCGGCGACAGTCCAGGCGCGGCAGCCGAGGCCGCGCCCCCAGCCTCTGGCGCCACAGCGGCCAGCGCCTCGGAGGCCGCCCAGCAAGACGCAGCCCCACCCTCGTCGGAGGAGGAGCAGGCTGCCCACAAGACGCGGGTCGCCGAGGAGGCAGCACAGCACGCCTCTCAGCGGCGAGGCTCCAGGCGGCGGCCAAAGAAGCAGCGCAGGTCAAGGGCGGCAAGGGCAGCAAGGGCGTCAAGCCTCCGGCATGAGGGTTTGCGCCTGGCGCGGCGCCGACCGCGCAGGCGGGCGCGGGGCGCGGCCAGGCGTCAGTTTTGTCTCAATCCTTGCCAGGGGACCAGGACGCCTCTTCTTGCGAGACTTATTCAGAAAAACCCCAGTCATGAGTGACAACTCATGGAATCATCTCGCTGGGCGTGCACTAGAGCATGAGATGTTGGGGATTGTCGAGACTCGCATGCCCGAGTCGCAGATACAACTATGGGGTCTCGTGCTCGCAGCTATGCACGTCCTCTATGTTACTGATGATGATCCTGACATTGATATGGAGATAATGGCAGTGGCGATGATGACGATGGTGATGATTGTGATGATGGATTTGAGGCTGATGGTGATGACGCTGATGCGGATGATTAGGGGAATGATGAGAACCAGGGGGAGGAAGGTGAGCAGTGACTACGAGTTGAGGGGTCTGACACAGGGGGGGTGGGTCGAGATGCTGATGATGATGACGACGATGAGGAAATCTGCAGGGCAGAGGCAGGAATGGGAGGAGGGGGAGGAGGAGAGGAGGACGCGACGCCAAAGTCCCAATACCACAAGATGGCTGGGCGTTCTTTCTCCAAAACGAAATTACACCACCATGAAATGGTTGGGACAAAAGACAACATCGCGAAACATCACGACCCAAACACCACACACCACCACTCTGCTGCATGTTTCGAACATGATCGACCCGTGATGGCTCTGGGGCCCGTACATCGAGCGACAACTGCCGCTATACACTTCCGGAGCTCCGCGCGCGCGGCGTTCCTGGAGCGGCGCTCCGCGCGGCGTTCCTGGAGCGGCGCTCCGCGCGGCGCAAAGCTTCCGGAGCTCCGCGCGGCGTTCCTGGATCGGCGCTGGAGCCCCTTCCCCGGCGCGGGGAGCGCGCCCGGGGGCGGCGCGGGAGGCCCCGTCGGCGCCGATGCAAGGATAGACCCGCGGAGCTCCGGAAAAATGCGTGTGCTCGCCGATGAAGGGGCCCACACACACACACACATATACACACATATACACACACACACGCACACACACACACAGACACAAAAAAAACACGCACACATTAATAAACACAGATCCCAGGATTCACCGCATTTCAACATCTCCAGGATGTTCGTCTCCCCTTCCACTTCCAAGATGTTCCACAATTATTTGTTCTTTGGAATCGACGGTGATGTGTGTCTGTGTATTTTCTCCTTCTAAACAAACATGTAACGCCTGGATCTCTGGACACCCCCGACCTCTACCCACCCTACGCCGAATGGAAGCACCTCGTCCTCTTCCTCCTCCTCCTCCCTCACGATCACACGACTCTCCCCTCCTCTCCAGGCCGTTCACTCGGGCTCCTGGGGAAACCAAAAGGTACCCATACCGCTACTCCCTGGACCTCGCCTGGAGTGGGTTCTGACCAGAACTTCGAGGCACATCCAGCGGTGGCGACGAGGGCCTCCCGGGAGGCCCACGAAGGGGAAAACGAGGGAAGGGTAGCGGTATCGGTAGCTTTACTTCATCTGATCCTCTCTCCCGTCCGTTCTCGAGGCTCCCGACCGACCTCCGCCCACCCCTCCGCCAGCGACGAGCCCTGCGCGCTTGAGCGGCAGCCTGCTCCCACGCGCGCGGAAAGGGGCCTCGCCCCGGAACTCCGTGAGCGACCACGGGCCGGGAAGGACGGCTATCCTGGGAGGCAGGGCGCCCTCCTCCTCCTCGAGCCCCGATCCTCGATACTCCTCCTCCTCCTCCTCCTCCTCCTCCTCCTCCTCCTCCTCCATCTCCTCATCCATATCCTTCACAATCTCCTCCTCCATCTCCTCCTCCTCCTCCTGCACCTCCCTCCTCCTCCTCCTCCTCCTCATCCTCCTCCTCTCCGCGTCCTCCTCCTCCTCCTCCTCCTCCTCCTCCTCTTCCTCCTCCTCCTGCTCCTCGTCCTCCTCCTCCCTCCTCCCTCCTCCTCGTCGGGCGCCCTCCTCCTCTCTTCTGCGGAGCAAGGTTGGGGCGATCATGCGGCCGCAGCTAGAGCAACACAAACTGCATAAACGTAAGTTGTCGGAGGTTCGTGGGGGTCTCTTGGATCGGCGCTCAACCTGCTGGTGGCGCCTCTGGCGCCGCTCCTAGCGCGCTCCACGCGCCAGGGAGAGGGGTCCAGAGCCGATGCCGAACTGATGCTTGCACCAGCAGAGCCGCGAGACCCGACGGAGACGATGTTATACACGGCACGTATCCTCGCCTAGGCGACGGGAAACAAGGAGGGACCAGCTCGGGGGGGAGGACTTCGAGCTGGAATCGGCACTACACGCCAATAGATCGGCGATAGGCCCCGATCATGAAACCGAGCGGTCCTGGGCGGGGCTCTCGGCCCCTACCGGCGATGAATGGGCGAGTGGGGGTAGATGCACCCCCCCAAGCCTATCCCCCCCTAACGTTGTCCGTCATCTTCTTCATCCTCGAGCCTCGAGCCTCGATCCTCCTGTATCTTGCTACTCCCCTTCCTTCCCCTCCTCGATCTTCCTCCTCGTCCTCGATCCCTCATCCTAGCGCCGCAGTCTCTTCTCACCTGGCGCTCCCGCCCAAGCTCGGGCTCTCAAGGGTCGATCCAGCTCGAGAAATGGCATTGGAAAGGTGGGGTCCCCAAACATGCGATGTCCAGACTTGTTGCAAAACGAGGTCCCCGGAAGTCCCGACCATTTTTCCCCCAGGCCGCTGTTGCATCCCGGCCAAATTCTGATGACGGTCCCAAGGCCTGGCAGGGGTCCCCAGAGGCCGAAACTGACCAAGAACCTCCCGCCGTACCGTCGGGGCGTTGACAAAAGGAGCCCTAGATAAGGAACGAGGCCCCCTATTCCCACATGCTAAACTTCGATGTCCCATGGAATACCTCAGGAAAACCCAAGGCAAACTATACATCAATCAAGGAACAACGAGCTCCTCTCCAACGAGAAGGGTTCCTTCATCAGCGCGCCGGGTGCACTTTTTCAGGACACAAGCATGTCTGGGTTTCTGTTGCTCCCATCGTACTCAAGGACCACATCCCAATCAAAAAAAATCGAGCAACCGGGAAAAAGTCGAAAGAGTGTCGAAACAATGTCGAAAGGGTGCCGGACGAGTGTCTGCCAGGGCCCGACACGCGAAAACCCTCCAGCTTCGGCACTTTCCTGGTGCACGAAATTAGTTCTGGTGGTCAAGACTGGAGTAGGTTGGAACATCAGAAGTCTGGGTCCACGTCCGCCGCTGCTGCTTCTGCGGAGTGCCCATAGTGTTAAGTCGGGCCTGTCCCCCTACAGGGGGATTTTCGACGAAAAATAAAAAATACCCCAAACATAATAAAACAAATAGTCCAAAAATAGTCCAGAGACTATTTTTCAAAAAAAAAAAAACCTTGTTTTGAAATATTTGTGGGGTATTTTTATTTTTCGGCAAAAATCCCCCTGTAGGGGGAGAGGCCCGACTTAACCATAGTGAGGGGCGCGCTCCCCTCGTCCAGGGGTCCAGGGACACACAAACAACTACACACACTATCCTCTGTTATCTGGGTTCTCTTACTGATATCCTCTATCCCCTATCCCAAGATTCCTCTATCCTCTATCCCACGATTCCTCTACCCAGATAAATACACACCGATCCTCTATCCTCTACCCCAAGATTCCCCATGTTCCTCCTCTATTTTCTGGGGTTCCGTCTTCCACCCCACCTCCCACATTTTCCCATCTCTCCCGGGGAATCGACGATTCAATTGCGTCTTGGGCGCCCGACTTATCCGGGGTAACTCGGGTCCGGGTAACTCGGGTTTGGATTCCCCAAAAAAGGAACCCGAATTAGCCCTGACCCGAGTTACCCCTGATGATGTGGGGCTCTGGACGCCCGAATTATCCGGGGTAACTCGGGTCCGGGGTAAGTCGGGTTCGGATTCCCGAACAACGAACCCGAGTTAGCCCTGACCCGAGTTACCCCTGATGATTCGGGGCTCTGAGCGTCTGTGTTATTTTTCCCCTCCGGAACGTGGAGCGACGAAGCGAGCACCTTTGCGGGGGGGCCCACGGCTGCAGTTTAGGGGGCCGTTTTTTGGGGCCACTTCCCCGAGATCCGACGCTGCGAAACAAAACTAACGGGGCCCAAGGACACACACACATATATATATATAATACACGAATAAGACTATTCCCCATAGTTTCCCATCGTTGTTGGGTGTTCGTCTTCCCCCCCCCACTTCCCATAGTTTCCCATGTTCTTGGGGATCGACGACTCATCGTGTCTGTGTGCTTCTTTCCCTCTTGAAAAATGCAACGTCGCGAACATCACGACCCGAGCCATCGGTCCCACCTTCACGCTGCATCCTTCGGGCAAGATCGTTCGGCGATGGCGCCAGGAGAGCCCGACTCCGCGCGAACACGCCCGGCGTAAGAAAAAAAATGCAGCGCCAAAACCTCAGGGTTTGAGGGCAACCTTCCAGCAGCCCTCAACCCCTCCGTGTTGTATTCCTCCCCCGCTGCCGACCTTGAGCAGGGACCGACCGTCCCGGCATTCCTATAGTCCTACCACGAAATGTTCCTAGAACCCAAGAATACTCTAAGAACAAACGCCAAGTTCTTAGAACATAAGCCCGATGTGATAAAACAAGACAGACTCCGCCAGGCATGTTCTAAGAACATGTCGAGGGAACCATTGTTTGGTACGGGTATAGGCGAGCCAGGACGCTTCGCCACTGCTTGACTTGAACTTCGGGGAGGCAGGCGGAGCAGCGGGCGCCGGCGGCTTCCTGAGAGTGCTCTGCCAGCGGCGCTGCCCCGCGTCGTTCACCTCCTCGGTGGTGTAGCTGGCCGAGTTGGGCGGAAGTACCTGGGGAAGCGGGCTCGTACTCGCTCGCTCTCGGCTGTTGGACATGGCATGTACTGTGTGTGTTCTCCCTTCTTTGTTTGTTTCTTTTGTTGGTTCGTTGTTGTTTTGTGTGATTGTGTTTTTGTGTGTCTCTCTCTCTTTCTCTCTCTCTTCTGTCTCTCTCTCTCCCTCTCCCTCTGTCTCTTTCTCACACACTCAACTTCAGCAGGTGCAGGCTGCCGCTGATGCTCGAAACGCATCGCGGAACGTCCATCGAAAAGGCGCAGGGGCCGAGGCGTAACCGGGCCGAACGGAGGAGGCGTCCGGGCCCGCTGGGTGGAAGGCTACCCGTTGCGATCTGGGGCGTCAGATGGCTCGCCCAGAACAGTGTGACAGCGCAGCGCTTACACGACATGCTTTCTCCACTGCCTGCCGACCTTGTTGTGAATCGATCCTAGTGATAACTGCCTCCTTATTTTTCATTTCTTCTCTCTCTGTCTCTCTCCTCTCTCACTCTCTCTTTCTCTCTCTCTCTCTCTCTATATATATATATACACCATCAAAAACCCTACTAAGGGCGCGCGGTAAGGACGCAAGACCCTTGGAAGCCAACGTTGAGATTTTTGGGGCGGCGGACGACGAAAGCCCCGTAAGCGGGCAAGCGAAAGAGGCCAAGGACGAGCCGCAAGAGCAAGGAAGAGCAAGGACGCAAGGGTACCCTGAGCAACGTCGCGCGTCCTTATTCGGGTTGTTGACTGTATATGGATGTAAGTTACCCATTAACTGCTTGCACTGAGGGGTGCTTACTTCTCTTTCGAGAGCGCGTGCCCCTCTGGCGGCTCCGTGCTCCCCGTCGCCGGCCCGTCGCCGCCTCGTATAGCCGCCCGCCGTCCCGGCCTGCAGGGCTGTCTATGGCGGTTCCGTGCCTCGGGTATGGACAGAAACCCCCCTTCGGGTAAACGTGGCTTACAGGGCAGTTTTTAATACGTCGGATGTTTAAGAATATCTGATTTTTAATGCAAGATTGATATATGAATCAATTTATGCATGAACCCATCGTTGTAATACTCAATCCCTGCATTTTTTATACATGATCCGCACGCGGAACATGTATCAAAAACGGCACTGTAGTGAAAACGACCGGGGGGGCCCAACCCTGGCGGGCGCAAGCCTGTAGAAGGACGGCCGCGGCGCCCTCCCGAGAACCGAAAACGGACAATTCACTGATCGACGTGTCAGGGAGGGGGTGCACGGTTTCCCCCGGGGTCGTAGGCGACCCGAGGAGGGGGGGGACGAGGAGGAGGAGGAGGAGGTGGAGGAGGAGGGGGGGGGAGAGGGGGAGGCGGAGGATGAGGAGGAGGGGGAGGGGAGGAGAGGAGGAGGGGGAGGGGAGGAGGAAAAAGAGGAGGAGGGGGAGGAGGAGGAGGAGGGGAGGAGGAGAGGGAGGAGGAGGAGGAGATGCACCCCCCGAGTGCTCGCCGTCGCCGCCCCGTCACCGCCTCGCTGCCGCCTGTCATCTGGGCCTGCGTGCCGGGCTGGCGGTTCCGCCCTCGCCGTCGCCGCCTCTCCTCGCGGCCCCGTCGCCGCAGCACGCAAATGGCACCGCATGTGTGAGCCCTGGTCGAAGGAAGGAGGAGGAGGAGGAGGAGGAGGAGGAGGAGGAGGAGGAGGAGGAGGAGGAGGAGGAGGAGGAGGAGGAGGAGGAGGAGGGGGAGGAGGAGGAGGAGGAGGTGGTGGAAGAGGAGGAAAAGGAACAAGAGGACTGGGAAAAGCAGACAAGAGTCAAACCATATGCGAACATAGTCAAGACATGCTCAAACAATCGTCCCCCGACTATGTTTTTACTAGTTTTGAATATTCACCCTGTAGAGGGACAGGCCTGACTTAATCGTAGTTCCACAGGCCGCCCACGCCCCATGTGGGCTGGGGTGGTGACGACGACGACGACGACGACGACCACGACGACGACGACGACGGCGACAGAAAACGCTGACGGTGGCGGAAAAAGACGACGACGACGCCGACGCCGACGCCAACGCCGACGCCGACGGAAGACGCGGACGCCGATGGAAAAAGACGACCGCGACGACGACGATGACGACGACGACGAATCACCACACACCCACAGGGCGAGAGGGGTGGCATCGGCACGTGACACCACGCCACGCCCACAAGGCCACGCACAGGGGCAGGGGGGCCATCGTTGGCGGCTGACTCGCCAGCGTTTTCGCTCAATGCTCCTACACTTCCCTGCTCAAGGGAACTCGCCTGGCGATCGTTTGTGGATGGGGTTCGTGGGGATACTTTTTGGTCGGCGGCCGCGCGACAAAAGGTTAGGCGGCAACAGGCGTGTGCGGGACGGCGGAACAGGCAAATCCCACGCGAGGCGTGTTCGTGGGGATACGCGAGTCGTGAAGAATGCGGCGGGCACCCAGCAAACCCTGCTCCTTGTAGGGAAGTTGAAGGGCACTTGGTTCAGACGCAGGCCTGCTAGCTGACTGGCCAGGTGATCTCAAGAGGCGGAGGGCTCACGTTGCCTCAGCAGCCCGTTCGGAAATTAGGCATGGAAGCCCCGTTCGCCTTCCAGGTGCCCCCTCAATGGCGCAAAAAGCCAGCGATGACGGAGCCCAGTGGCACGACGCGACAGACACAACGACAGACGACATGCAAAAACGACAGGAAACGCCACAGGGGAGAGGAGAGGGGGGAGGGAGGGGGAAGGAAGCCCGCGGGCTGCGCCCGCACCCAGCGCAGCCCCGCTCGGGCCAGCCCTGCTGCCACGCGGCAGCCCGTCTGGCTCCTGCCTCCTGCGCCCGCGTGCGCGCAGTCGCTCCTGCCTGCGCTCGCGCGTAGGCCGACGCAGCGTGCGCGGCCGCCCGGGCCACCAGGCGGCGCAGCGCCGCGTCGCTGTGCACAGCCAGCTCGCCCAGGCCGCTGCTGGACTTCGCCCAGCATGCCACGCGCGGGTGCGCCCACCGGGCGGGCGAAAGCCCGCGCGGCCGCCCCGGCGGCCCTGAACGCATCTCCGACGCGTCCATTATAAGGCCGCGTCCGAGGCCGCATCCCCCCTACGGGAATTAACGCCGCCGGGTGGTGCGGCGGCGCTCGGGGAAATGCTCGCCGCGGCGTCGTCGGCGCCCGCTGCCGCCGCGCCGGGGCGCCCTGCACCCGGCCCAGCGCCGCCCGCGGCCGGGGCGGGCCGCTCCCTGTCCGATTAACGGCCGCGACCCCCCGGCGCCGCGCGCGGCGCGCCGCCCCGCGGGGGGCAGCGCTCGCCGCGGCGCCGCGCGGCGAAGGGCTGGTCTCTGCAAAAGCGCGCGCCGCCCGAAAATCGCTGGCGGGTGCTCCGCGCTGGATGCCGCGGGGCAGCCGCGGTGCCAGCGAGCGGAGCGCTTCGCGGGTCGCCCCCGTCGGGCGGGCGGGGCGCTCGCCGCGCCTGCGCCGGCAGCTGGCGCGGCTGCTTCTTGGGAGGCGCCCGCCGTCCTGGGGAGCGCTCGCCGTCGGCGCGCCGCGCGCAGCTGGCAGGGTCTGGCTGACCGCCCGCCTCGGACTGCCGCGGCCCGCCCTCGCTGACAGGCGGGAGGCCGTCGTCGCTGGCGTCCGCCCAGAGAGTTTTCGGCGCCGGGCCGACAACCCGCGCGCGCCAGGGAGAGCACGGAACGCCCCCAAGCGCTGTCCAGCACGTCGTACAACCTCTCCAAGTCCTGGTCGCTCACGCTGGGGGTGTGATCGCCCGCGCCCCTATGCCAGCTGTCCGGCGCGCCCAGCGCGCCTGGTACGACCTCCAGCCTGCCGCCTGGCGGGGCGCTGGCGCACCAGCCCGCGCTCAGGCCCCCGCCCGCGGCTGGCCCTGCCGCACCAAGAAGGCGTCGTCCCCGATCTGCTCGACCGAGCAGGCCCAACTGGCGGCCCGCAGGATCTCGTGGTGACATCCGCCGCGTGCGCCCGCCGCCGTGCCGCGTGGGCGTCGCTGGCGCTGCCAGCGGAGCCGCTCCTGGCGCGGCTGGATCCGGCGCTGTTGAGGCGGGAGCAAGCGGAGGCGGAGCCTGAGGAGCCGCGTATGCCGTCCGCGCTGCTGGCTGCGCTGGTCCAGCCGCTGGGCCAGCCAGCGCGGCGCGCTCCGCTGCATCGCCCTCCGTTTCCTCCCCGCTCGAAGTGTAGTTGGCCTCAAGATGGCCCACAAAGGCCTCAAGATGGCCCAGCGATCTCCCCTTCACCATGTCCAACACAGTTCCAAGATAGCCCCAGATGCCCCAATATTGTATCCAAAATGGCACATGGTAGCCCAAGACGGCTTAAACGAGCTGCCAAAATGTCTCCAACAGGCCTGGGACAGCCCCGATGCTGCTCCAAGTGGCCACGGAGCCTCTCAGGGAGCCCCCGAGAGGCAAACATTCTTCAAAATCCTAGATGTTAGCATTCTTGCCTTGTCGCTGCCTATGGGCCTCTGAAGGCTCAAGAAGACCCCCAAATGGCCAAACAGAGCCCCAGGAAAAGCCCAAGAGAGTCACACGAAGGCCCAAGGAGCAGCCAAGAGCCCCCCAAGACGGCCCAAGGAATCCCCAAGAAGGCCCCAGAGCGCACCAAGACGGCCCAGAGAGGCCCCCCAAGACAGCCTCCACAGGCGTCGGACGGGCCAAGAGCGCCCCAACACAGCCCAGAAAGCTCTCCAAGAGGCCCCAGGAGCCGCCGTCGGGAGGCCCCTGGAGGCCTACACGACGCCCCGAGAGCCGAGAGGGTCCGCCGGAGGCCTCGGCACACGTCAAACTGCCGCCTCCAGCTCGTCGCGGTCCTCGTCCTCCTCCGCCTCATCCCTGGTCGCGAGACTGGCGGCCCAGTTCTCTGGAAGCGAGGGGGGGGCCGCCGTGGCTCTCTCGCCCTGCGGGCTCCAGATACGCAGGCCAGTGCGAATCCTCCTCCTCCTCCTCCTCCTCCTCCCCTCCTCCTCCTCCTCCCCCTCCTTCTCCTCCTCCCCCCCCTCCTCCTCCCTCCCTCCTCCCCCTCCTCCTCCTTCTCCTCCTCCTCCTCCTCCTTCTCTTCCTCCTCCTCCTCCTCCTCCTCTTCCTGCACCCTCCTCCACCCTCCTCCACCCTCCTCCTCCCCCTCGGGACGATGAACATCGAGGCCTGGGCGGGAGAACCAACTTGTTCCTGGAGATGTCGATGTCAGGATGTTGGGTCGCGTTTCGCCTGAGGCATCCTCGCAATCAGAGCCAAGACAGGAGCATGGGAGGGGATCGGGGAGTTCGGCCTCCCCGCCTGCTGTGTTTCAGCTGAACCGCGCTCCATCCCGTGGATGAAGAGACGCAAGGGTAGGGGGGGGATGCTTTATGATCGGGGGTTGCGGTTGATTTCGAAGCGCACCGCTGCCCAATCCCAAGGCGAAGCAAACATGCCGCCCCTGTTCTCCGCGGCGCTGTCTCATCTGGGGAAGACGATGCGCTGCACACAGTGACAAGGGGGTGGCGCGAGGAGGCCGGGGCGTCTGCTTAGCAAGCATGGGCCTCCTTAGATAGGCCCGGGGGGGTTCACAAGGAGGCCCCCTGGGACTCTTAGATAGGGGAACGAATTACATAAACATAAAAACTCGAAGGTCGGCGCGGATTTCTTGGATCCGCGCTAGACCCCCCTGGCGGCGCCTCTGGCGCCGCCATTGGCGCGCTCCGCGCGCCAGGGAGGGGGGTCCAGCGCGGATCATTGTTCGCTCTCCTATCAGAAGCCAGGAGGGTTTCTGAGAAGCCCCATTGAGCGCGTTTCCGTATGCCCGGCGATGACGGGCGTCCTGGAGGGGGGGGGAGGGCGGGAGGGGTCTGACGTGACGCCCCCCCCCGCCGGGTGGCTCCGGCACCACAGCCGCGTCCGCGCGCACGACGCGACGAGCAACGAGCGACGACGACGACAACGACGACGACGACGACGCGAGCAGCATGTAGGTGGCGATCTGCCCACTGTGCCTGTGTACACCGCAACGCTCGCGTGCACCACGCCGCGCGTGTGCACCACAGCGCCTGCGTACACCGCAACAGCCGGGTGCAACGCACCGCCTGCGTATACCACAATACTTGGGAACACTGCAGCGCCGGTGTACATACACCGCAGCAACCATGTGCAACACAGCGCCTGTGTACACCACAGGCTTGCGTGCACCGCAGCGTCTGTGCACGCCACAACGCCTGTCTACACCACAGCATCCTCGTGCAACGCAGCGCTGGTGTACACCACAGTGCCTGCGTGCATAGGACAAGTAGAAGGAGCATGTACGTGAGGATCTGCTGCAGACAACTAAACGCCACGCCAAAAAAATCTGATAATCGAATGCGACGTGTTTCCCTCCTCCCTCCTCCTCCACCTCCTTCTCCTCCTCCTTCTTCCTCCTTCTTACCCCCTGTCGTGTGGCTTGGCGTTACAGCACACGTGCGCATCTTAGCGTGCACCGCAGAATGGTCGATTGAATCGGTCCACTTGGTTCTCGGACGGCCAATTTAGCTGGAGCTTCCTGGACGCAAATGGGAGTTCGGGTGATGCGGGCGGACTCGGGGGGGCTCGTAGATTCCAGCGGCGTTCCTTTGTCCATGAAGACTTGTTTTCCATTGTATTCTGGAATCCACAAGCGTTCCATGTTGTCAGAAGGATTCCTTCCAAAATTCTATACGCAAAAGTGGTGCTGCGTTGCACACGGCTGATGTGGTGCACACAAGCGCCGTGGCGTACACAGGCACTGCGATGCACGCAGGCATTGTGGTGTACACTGGTGCTGTGTTGCCCACGGCTGATGTGGTGTAAGCAGGCGCTGTGGTGTACACCGGAACTGCTGTGCCCGCAGGCACGGTGGCACAAACTGACGCTGTGTTGCACGCGGCTGCTGGGGTGTACGTAGGCGGTGTGGTGTACACTGGCGCAGTGGTGCACGCGGGCACTGTGATGTACGCAGACTTTGTGGTGCAAATCGCCACTTACATGTTCATGCTACCCGTCCTTCGTCATTCCTAAGCATTCCCAGACTCCGCCGGCGCGAAACGTGACGTCATCGACCCCCTCCCCCCCCAGATGATTGCCGTCATCGGCCCGGACTTACAAACAGGCTCCAGCCGCGTCCGTGCGCACGACGACGATGAGCGACGAGCGACGAACCACGAGCGATGACGACGGACGATGACGATGACAACGACGACGACGACGACGACGACGACGACCACGACCACGACGACGACGACGACGACGACCACGACGACTGCGGACTAGACATCTATGCGGATTCCTACGCGGACACCTACGCGGATCCCAATGCGCACGGCGGCAGTGCCTGGAGCGCACTGGGGGGGGAGCGTTACGTCATAGGGGGGGGGGAGCGGGGGCCATGACGCCCGTCATGCCTCAAGCAATAAAGAAACGGGTTCCTTCTACCTTCTCATGCCACGCATTTGAGCGTGCCACCAGTCTCGCTGTTGGGGCAACGCTCGCGCCTCTCCAGCGTCCGACCGGAACGACTCGGGCCCCCTTCGAACGCTCTCGACGCAGCGCAGCTGGAGAGCATCCCGAAGCGGAAAACCCTAAAGAACAACACTCAAAGAACCTGTTTTGAGCAGGGACTGACCGTCCCGGCATTCGTATAGGCCTACGACGACATGTTTCTAGAATCCAAACATGCTCTAAAAACCATACCAGTGTTCTTACAGCATAAGCCCTATGGCTTGAAACAAGACAATCACAAGACAGTCTGAGCCAGAGGTGGGCCCATAGGCAAGCCAGGACGCTTCGCCACTGCTCGACTGTTGCACGCCGCCTGCTGAGCGAGGCAGCAACCACAGCTGCCACCTGCACGCCCGACACGGATACGCGAAAGAGTGGGCACGATGCCCAAACGGCAGCAACTTTCCAAAAGCCGGCTGCGGCCGCCATCTCGCTGTGTCTTTGCCTACTCCGATGGCGTCGATCCATGGCGCCGGCGACACGCCTGCGCGCGAAGCGAGGCGAGGCGACGCAGGGGGGCGCCGGCTCAGGGGGGGTAAGCACTGGTCTGGAATCGGCGATGCATCGCCGATGGGTCCGCGATCGGCGATGGGCCCCTCGCAGGGCGGGGTGGGCCATCGGGCCCGCTCCGCTGACGAATGGGGCGCCGGGGGGTCGATGAGTCGCCCCCCCCTGCGCCTGTCCCCTCCCGCGCTGCCCCCGACAGCCGCAGCTCTGGGGGGCAGGGACCCTCCCGGCGATCTTGGTGATCGCGGTGTTCAGCGCGAGCTTGGGGTACTGCCACGCTGCGGGCGCGCGCGGCGACGGGGGTCCCACGCGGTTCCCTCGACTTGCAATGCCTTCGCATGTGCGCCCGCGGTTTTTACGCGTCTCGCACGCGTGCCCCACCAGACACAAAAGCATTTTGGAGGCCACGGCCTCACCCACCTGGTCTTAAAGCAGGCACGGACTGCCGCCCGCACGCGGTGGTCGCTCGTTCGTTCGTTTCGATGCCTTCGAAGATCACGACTGGGGCTCCGTGCGGACTCCTTGGATCCGTGCTGGCGGCGCCTCCGGCGCCCCCCCTGACGCGCGGGGCGCCGAACGTCTGTGGTGATAAAGTTTCTCCTCTTCGAGACGGGGCTCGTGGATCGAGGCTCGTGGAAGCCAGGGTCCGAACTCGAGGGAGGAAGGTCGAGGTTCGAAGAGGCTCCAGGGATAGGGCGGACGCAAGCCCTCACTGGGCCGTGGAAGAGAGGGCGACGCGGGCCTGGCTGGGGTTTCCCTTTGACGAGGAAGTACCTAACCGCCAGTGGGCCCCCCCCGACCCTGAGACGACCCCAGGAAACACAGATACACCGCTTTCGCAATTCGACGGCCCCACTGGCCAACGACGTGCTGAGATTTGCAATCAGAGGTGTACACCCATTCTTCTTCGTGCACGCGGGGCGGCCCCTGGGGGGGCCCACCGGACAAACGAGTACCCGGGCCTACTCCAGCCACGGATGCCGAAGCTCCTAGGGCGGTCTTCCAGCCCGCAAGATCGCACCAGGAGCACCCCAAGGGAGCTCCGACAGGGCCCAGGAGCCGACAGGAACGAGCAGGACGCCCCAATAGTGCGCGAAGACAAATCTCCATAATGTTTCAGGACGAACACAGTTAGAACATAGCCAAGAAATAGGATGAAACATTGTCAGGAGTAGTGACAGGAATCGCCCCCAGACCATTTTTGGACTACGTTTGAACATTCCTCCTGTGGCCTGTGGAGGGACATGCCCGACTTAAGCCTCACGCTGGATCGAGCCGTGGCATCGGATCGGAGATGGGAGGCTGATCGGATCGCGCCCGCCTGGGCGCGGAATCGAATCGGCATCGGCTCGATTACAGTCGGGCCGCTGAATGACAGCAGAGGCTCGACCATAAGAAACCTTCCTCAAGAATTCCAACCCTGGAACCACAGGACGCACACTGAGTTTGGTATGGGAACATCACGCACTCCTTGCAAATCCATCGAGACCCAAGAAACCCAGGGCACACTGGGGGCAAGCAGGGTGTTTCTTGGCATGGGTCTCCACTGCGAGTAACCCTAAGTAAGACACGCAGCCCCACTCCAGGCCCCCAAACCCACCCTTCGTTCACATGGACGGCCGGAGGAACAGCCATGAAAGGACCCAGGGAGCATCGGGCCCCCTTCCGACTGCAAACTGCTCCTTCTTTTCAGCGTCTCGAATCTGAGACCCCAGATCGGCCTCGGCCCCCGTCAGGCCAGAGGAAGGAACGCTTCGTGCACAGCTCCGTGCTGGATGGGATCGGCATCAGAATTCGAACTGGGGTTAGGTTGGGCCTGTCCCCCTACAGGGGGATTTGGGGCGAAACAAGAAAGTTAAACAATACCTCAAAAGTGCTCAAACATGCTTTAAACAAATCGTCCCCTGACTATTTCCCTACCTAGGCTCTGGCTAGAAGGGTTCTTACTCGGTGGCTTAAAGGGCCGGGCAGTGGGGCCCGCCCCGGGCGGTTCCCCCAGTATCCGCCCCGCGGTTCCCCCAGTTTCGTTCCTTTAGCTTAGCGTCGCTTATCTCATCTTAGCTTAGCTTATTTCATCTTAGCTTAGCTTAGGTTCATTGTTTGTTTTGTCCCTACCTAGGCTCTGCCTAGAAGGGTTCTTACTCTCTATCTTAAAGGGGCCGGGCACTGTAGAACGCCCCAGGCGGTTCCCCCGGCATCCGCCCCGCGGTTCCCCCAGTTACGTCTCCTTAGCTTAGCGTTGCGTATCTCATCTTAGCTCCGCCTAGCTTAACTTAGCTTAGCTTAGCTTAGCCTAGCCTAGCCTAGCTTAGCTTAGCTGAGCTTAGCTTTGCTTAGTCTAGCGTCGTTTAGCTCCGTTTAGCTTAACGCATTAGCATAGCATATCATAGCATAGCATAACATAGCATAGCATATCATAGCATCGCATAGCGCAGCATAGCATAGCGCAGCATTTCATAGCATAGCATATCATCGCATAGCATAACGCAGCATATCATAGCATGACATAGCATATCTTAGCGTATCGTAGCACAGCGCAGCATATCATATCATATCATATCATAGCATAGCATAGCATAGCGCAGCATAGCATAGTATAGCATAGCGCAGCATAGCATAGCATATCATGTCATATCATAGCGCAGCATAGCATAGCATAGCATAGCGCAGCATATCATATCATAGCATAACCTAGCATAGCGCAGCATATCATAGCATACCACAGCATAGCGCAGCATAGCATAGCATAGCATAGCATAGCATAGCATAGCGCAGCATAGCATAGCACAGCATAGCTAGCTGTCGGTGTAGATGTATATGTTGCTTTCCTAGATGCTCCAACTCCTAGGTAGGGTCGCACTGGGATCATTCTTGTACTATTTTTGAATATTCCCCCTGTAGAGTGACAGGCCCGACTCAAAGCGGGGGGACCCGGTCGGACAGGGTATGACCACCCGCAGCTCTGCCAAGGCAGGGCCCACCGGGGAGGCCAACGCGGGGCGGAGCAGCTGGGCCCCCGCGGCACGTGCTCTTCGGCATTCGGCGGTGGACATACCTCCCTTTGGTAATAGGGGCCAACAAACCTACCTCGCTTTTTCGCTTTTGACCACCCTCGCTTCCAAGAGATACCACGCGATGCCAAACCTGTACTGGTCAGGCCGCTTGACGAGGAGGCGCGTGGACGGACCTGGACCCGCAAACATGACGGCCGCGAGGCCCTCTCGCGAGCCGAAAACGGCCAATTCCTTGATCGGCGTCTCAGGGTAGGAGGTCTATCAACCTCCGAAGCATGGGCCAGGCTAGCCTTGACAAATGAGCATCATATCCTGAGGCCCGACTTTGCGAGAAAACATGCAGCATTGCGGAACAGTGCGACCAGAGCCCTAGACCGTAGGCCCGTTCTCTGTGTGACAGTCGCCGGGCCGCATCGATGCGTGATGGTCCCGGGGCCCGACACTGGCCAACAAAAACTCCCTGTGTGCAAAAATGCAACGCCTGGATCGCGACGCCCTGTGTGGAAAACGCCCTGTGCGGGCATCAGATGACGCTCCACTTCATGGAGCTTCGATTGAGCACACACGGAGGGGCCGCGCGCGCGGCGCCTATCTCCTGGGGCAGGCCGTCGGCTCCCTGGCCGGCAGTGAAGTTGTCGGGATACTTTATGTGCGCCTGCTCTTGCAACAAAAAGGTGCCGCCGCCGTCGTCGTCGTCTGCAGTCGTCGTCTGCAGTCGTCGTCGCCGTCGTCGTCGTCGTCGTCTGCAGTCCCCGTCGTCGTCGGCAGTCGTCGTCTGCAGTCGTCGTCGTCGTCGTCGTCGACTGCAGTCGTCGCCCTCGTCGTCGTCGCCGCCGCCGCCGTCGTCGGGCCGTGTCGTGGGGGCTCCGACACTGCTGGTAGACCTGCGTCTGCTCTGCTGGAAGGACCTGCGTCCTGGCTTCCGGGGGGCCCGGTGCTTCTGACACGTGCAGCCTCCGGGGGAAGCGCTTTCGGGCCCCAGGAGGGCGGAATGCCCGAGAGGGGTCCAACCCCCGAACGCAGAGCATCTGATCTGAGAGGGGGGCCAGGAAGAGGGGGGCTGGCGCGACATGGCCCGAGGCATGTGCGCGGAAGCGGAGGCAGATCACGCATGGGAAGAACAAGAGGGGGTCCTGAAGTCTGGGAGACTTCACTGCCCCAGCCATCATGTCCACGCACCCTGAATCCACACACCCCAGTTTGACGCCCGGTGGTTCTCGGGCCGTAAACTTAGATCGGGCCGGTCCCCCTACAGGCGGATTTTGGACGAAGAATTAAAAATACCCCAACAATACTCCAAAAAAAATAGTAAAAGCATCGTCCCCAGACTATTTTTCACTATTTTTGACTATTCCTCCTGTAGAGGGGCAGGCCCGACTTACCCATAAATTGAGTCTCTGGCGGTTGTTCGGGACGACCCGTGCACCCTGGGCCCCCAAAAGAGCTCGACAGGGCACAGCTGCCGGAACCCATCTCGAGGCGAGAAACCCTCCAGGGACCATCGAAAGCTTCCTCCCCCTTCGGTGGCGAAGACGCGAAAACCTCCAGGGACCATCGAACGCTTCCTCCCCCTGCGGTGACGAAGACGCGAAAACCTCCGGGGACCATCGAACGCTTCCTCCCCCTTCGGTGACGAAGACGCGAAAACCTCCAGGGACCATCGAGCGCTTCCTCCCCCTTCGGTGGCGGAGACGTCGCTCCCCCCCTGGCCCTCACACCCCTCTTCGACAGCACCGCCTGGGGCGTCGGAGGGCTCCCTGGGCGGGCCCCCGCGCGCGCTGGAGAGCTCGCGCGCACTGGAGCTCCAGGGAGGGCCGGCGAGGGCGACGCTCTCGCGCTCTCCAGGGGCTCCCAGCTTGGCGCTTCGCGCTGCGCGAAGCGCGAAGTGCGAATAACGTCGCGCTCTCGCGGCGCCTCCCAGGGGAGAAGAGGAGGATGAGGAGTAATCGGAGCCGAACCGCGCAGCGCGAACCGCGACTGACTTCGCGCCCTCGAGGGCGCCCTTGCTCTCTGGGCATCCCAGCAATCGGCACCGAACTGGGAGGTCGGGTCGAATCGAGATGTCCGCAGAATCGGGCCGGAATCGATACCGAATCGGTGCGGCTGCGACAGGTCCACAGCAGCGCTGCGCAAGCATCGGCTCCACTCGGACCGCTAGAATTCCGGAACCAGACAGGACGGGGCTGGCCAGAATCGGCATCGAGTCGGATCGATCGGATCGGGATGGTGATTACCCTCCCCCCCCTCCTCGAGGGAAGACTGTAACGCTCTCGCCGCTTTTTGTGATGCAAAGCCGAAGCGAATATCAATATCGGATCGATATAGACTGGGCATCTCTGAGAGCTGTCGGTCTGCTGGAAATTGGAATTACGCTCTGACAGCGCTCCAGGAAGCTTTAGAAGGATTAGTTCGCCGACTCCTCGGGGGTTCGTAGGCGTGTGAGATACTTACTACTCCTCAACTTGCTCCGCATGAAACTACTCTCCAAGGAGCTGGATCCACCCGGTTTGGAGAGGGGTGTCGGGCCGGAAGAGCCGAGGGGGGGGCCAAGCTCATCCGAGGCTTGGGGAAGCCGCGAAACGAGCCAAGTCAAGAGGGCCTCAAGAGGACTCCCAAGCGGTCTAAGAGCGCCCCGAGACGGCACCAAGCGGCCTCGATACGATCCACGATGGCCCCAAGGCGGCACAAGGTGGCTCCAATACAGGCCGAAATGGCCCGAATCAAGCTCCCCCCAAGACGCCCCGAGAGGGCCCCACGAAGACCCCCATGATAGGGCCAGATTCAAACAAGCATCTGGACCACCTGACTCTGCGCATCGCGCCCCGCGACGCCCGAGCGCGACTATCGGCGGTGGGACAAACCTCCCTTTAGTAAACCTCCCTTTAGCGAAAACGACCTAGGGCCGAAACCGACGGACCTGGACCCGCAAAAATGACGGCCGCGACGCCCTCTCGCGAACCGAAAACGGCCAATTCCTCAATCGGCGTGTCAGGGCAGGAGGTCTGTCCACCCCCGCGACTATCTTCGCGCCCTCGCTGCCCTCTGGCCGCCCTCCGAAGCTCGAACCCTCGACCCCGACGCGCGCGCAGCGCGATCGTCGTCCCGTCCCCGCGGGCGGCCTCGAGACATCCAGGCTGGTTTCCCGGCTGCTTGCCGGCCATCTCTTGGCGTGCTTGCCCTCTCGAGCCTCCGAGGGCCGCGAGGGTGGCCCCCGAGGACGGCCCGCGAGGCTCACGAGGGGGCCCCCGGGGCCGGCCCGGGAGTGCTCCAAGATGGGCCCAAAGGGGCTCCCAGAACGGCCCCAAAAAACTTCCTGGGGAGGGGACCCCGACACGGGCCCGCTACCCTCCCAAGTTGAACAGCGTCCATTGCCAGCGAACCGAACACCGTTTTAAGCGACGGGACCGCTCAGTCGTCAGAGGATGAGGAGGAGTAGGAGGACGAGGAGGAGGAGGAGGGGGAGGAGGAGGAGGAGGAGGAGGAGGAGGAGGAGGGGGAGGAGGACGAGGAGGAGGAGGAGGAGTCGAGGGCTCCTAGGAGAGCCCCGAGGCCATCAGAAGGGACGCCTCACACGGCCTCTCGAAGGCGCCGGACGGCTCAGGGGCGCCCGAGAGGACAGCCCCGCGCGTCCCCAATAGGCCCCTCACGAAGCCTCCTCCTCCTCCTCCTCCTCCTCCTCCTCCTCACCCCTCCAAGGAGCCCCCCGGAGCCTTGTAAATGCGAGGCGTGGCTGTGTTCCTATCCTCTGGCATGGAAACCAATGTCCTGGGACACTAAGGGTAGGTGGATATAAATACATAAAACCCCACAGATGCGGATAAGAGTGAGGAGGCGGTGGGGACGTCGGCAGTTTGCGAGATTCTGGAGAAGCCCGCCGCAGGCGCCGATTTTTTCGTTAAACCAATGTGGGTAGGTCGCGGGTGGGTCGCGGATGGGTCGCGGGGTGGGTCGCGGGGGGGTTGCGGGTGGGTCGCTGTTGGGTCGCGGGTGTAGAGGGCAGAAAGCCGTTTAGTTAACGCACGCAAGGAATGAATCGAACAGGGCAGGGCTGCTTAGTCAACGCCCAGGGCCGTTTTAATAAAAGTCAATTGGTGGGTCCGGGTGGTGTTTTCCTCCCTTGAGGGTGCGTCGCGGGGTGGTTCGCGAGAAGGTTGCGGGGTGGGTCGCGGGTGGGTGGCGGATGGGTCGCAGGGTGGGTCGCGGGTGGTTCGCGGGGTGGGCCGCGGGTGGGTCGCGGGTGGGTCGCGGGTGGGTGGCGGATGGGTCGCGGATGGGTCGCGGGGCGGGTCGCGGGTGGTTCGCGGGTGGGTCGCGGGGTGGGTCGCGGGTTGGGTCGCGGGTGGGTCGCGGGGTGGGTCGGAAGTGGGTCGCGGGGTGGGTCGCGGGGTGGGTCGCGGGGTGGGTCGCGGGTGGGTCGCGGGGGGGGACGACGACAACAAACAAAACAACGACAACAACAACGCAACAAGCAAGGCGATATTATACGCGTTCCAGACGTGCACACCGCGAAAGGACGGGACTCGTGTTGCTTCCATACCAGACGCTCCATCAATAACCACGCCAATCTCGTACGGCCGCATGCTGTCAGGGCAGTGGCGGGGAGGTCAGAGCACTGAAGGCCAGACCGAGACACCGTGTCCCGCGGCAAGGCTTCGCCAGAGGCGCGCCGTGACGGCCTGGACGGCCAACGCTTACCAGTCAGATGAGAACCGAGTCGCTCCAGCATCTTGCTCCGAGCGATCCCCACCCTGACTACCTTCCAGACCACCCTAACCCAACCCGAAGAACCGAATTTCGGGTTGGGGGGGGGGTAAGGGTTCCACATGTGTTTTTTCTATGTTTCCCGACCCCCCCCCACTGGAAATCGAGGGTAAATCTGAGCCTTCGGGTTGGGTTGGGGTGGTTTGGTGGGTAGTGACACCCGAGAATGCGAGGCGGGATCCCCAAGGAGCGGCGGCACACTGCGGGCCCGGCGGCCGCGGTACGCAGTCGCCACTCGTCGAAGACACGAGGCGGGATCCCTGGGGATCGGCAGCACACTCTGGGCCTGGCGGCCGCAGCGTGCACGGTGTGCGAGGCGGGTCGGGAGCTTCCCTTGAATTAGGGGGCAAACAAACCTCGCTCGCTTTTGACCACCCTCGCTTCCAAGAGATACCACGCGATGCCAAACCACGGCATGTACTGGTCAGGCCGATTGACGAGGAGGCACGTGGTATGATTTGGTTTTGCCTGGACACGAAAGCGGGGTAAGTAATTCACGCTCTGAGGAAATCTAGCGCCTTCACCATGTCGGGTGGGGACCATGGTCCCACCGCGAAGCGACCGTAGCCTTCACAAACGAGCACTTGAGACGATCGTAACACGCCGAGGCCGCGAAAAACAAATAAACCCCGAACGCCGGACACCCACCTCTACCCCTCTCGGGGGGGGGGGGACCGCCTCTGGAGCCCACTCAGGCACCCCAGCCCCAGGAAGCGAGAATCACTTGGCTTGCCCAGGATGGTTGCTTCTGCAGTCCCTCTGGAAATACGCACGGCAAATAAACAGGGGAGGACAACGGGGAGAACAAAACGGAGAGGATGAGGAAAGGCAATCCCTTGGAATCGATGTCATCGGCTGTCCTCCAGTCGGGAAAGAGGGACGGGGAGGAGAAGGGAGAGGATGAAACGTGGGAGGAGGACGAGGAGGACCAGTGTGAACCCAAGACGTATCACCAATTATTGTAATAAACCCTCGCTCTAAAGAACTGATTTGCATTACAGAGAGTGCCCCAGTGGAAGGCGACTGTCTGAGAACCCCCAATAGCACAAAACGCAACTCCAGGGACTTCAGCTCCGCGAGTCATCTTGACAATTGCTTCCTGACAATCATGACTCGTGCCGGAACACCATTCCGCGACTTCAACACAACGAATCAATGTGGTTGCTGCGTCCTGACGCTCCGAAATTTTGCCAATACGCTATTCCTGGGACTTCAACCATACGAAACCTTGAAACTGCTGCACAAACTTTCAACTCAAATGCGCACGGCGCTGAGACGAGAGCCACATCTTGGAGAGGAGCCGCCATCCATCCGTGGAACTGTTGCAAGCTTGACGATGGATGAGCGCGGCGCTGAGATTAGAAGCGCATGCTGACAAGAAGTGGCCCTCCAGCCGTGAGAAAACGCTGCAATCTTTTGAAATACGGCAGGTTCGTGTCGTGCCGACCCCAGCGTTGGTTTCTGACACCGCAGGGATCGTTCAACCTTGAACGATCGGCCGCTGCCGCAACGTCCGATCGTTCAACATCGATCGATTCTGGGTCGCCGCCGGCGTTCAACCTTGAACGCCCGCGCTTGGGTCGCCGCTGGTCGACACGACGCAAACCTACCGTACCTGTGCGCGGCGCTGGGGAGAGAGAACCGCACTCTGACAAGGGCTGGCCCTCCATCCACGCGACGCTGCTGCAGGCATTGAGCACACAGGTGCGCGCCGACGGAGCGAGAACCACATTTGAAAACGTGCGAGCCCCCGCACGTGAAACGTCTGCGAATCTCCAGCTTCAGGATCATAAATGTGAGCAAGCGTGGACCCCAGACAGAATGTGTCTAGCAGTCTACGGTGTGCAGTCGATGTGAGACGGTCTATGTACGTAGGGGAATCGATGTTGGGCAGTCTATGCGGTGCAGTTTAGGCCATGCAACCTATGTGGTGCAGCTTATGTGGTGTAATGTATGTGATGCAACAGGTTGTGTGCAATATCTGAGGAGCCATCGAGGTGGTGCAACATATGCGGTGTAATACATGTTGTGCGATCTATGTTGTGTACTCTACGTTTGCAGCAGATGTCGTGAAATCTATTGCATGCGATAGATGTGGTGGAGTAAACGCTGTGCAATCGATGTGGACCAGTTGACGGTGTGCAATATACGGGGTGCAGTAGATGATCTGCAACGTATATATATACATACATATATATACATATGTATACATGCACATATATACATACATATATATATAAATACGTGGTGTAATTCATGCGGCCAAACTGAAGTGCAACGTATGTCGTGCCATCTACGTGGAGCAATCTAGGTTGTGCAATCTATGTGTAACAAGATGTAGTGCAAGCTATCTGGATGTTGTGGAATCGGTTTGGTGCAAACCATGTGGTACAATATATTAGTGAGGGGGTCTCCTACAGCGACCATTAGCAGGCCATGGCTGTTAACTTCTTGGCCCGCGGAATGAAAACACAAAAAAACGAATTTGACAGACGAAGCGCCTTCAAATTTTCAAAATTTGCAAAATATATTATATATATATATTGTTCAATCCACGTGGCCCAATCGATGCGGAACAAACTATGTGGTGCCATCTGTGCGGGCGGCAACTGGGCGGCCACGACGGCACCAGAGCCGCCAGCTCGGCAGCAAGGCCCCGACACCGGGCGGCGACGAGGGCGGCGACGGGGCGGCGACGACGGCAACAGAACCGCCGGACCTGCAGACATGCCCAGACGACGGGCGGCGACCGGGCGGCGATATAGCCGCCAGACCGGCAGACAGGACCAGCTCCTTCGAGGAGAAGAAGCCCTAAAGGCAAGCGTTGTTTGGTAAAGGGTGACAGGGTCTCAAGCGAAACGCACGGCCCGCCTTACCGACACGTCTAGGGATACGACAGGGGAGTTCTTCTTAAGAGAAAAGGATGAAGGAGAGAGGATTTGGGGTGAAGTCCGCTGACCGCGTTGTGGGTCTCTGGGATCTTGGCCTCCCGCATTCCTCTCCTCGGGGATCCAGACCCCTTCCCCGGCCCAGGGTGGTGCACCCCCGAACTCATCAGGAGGGGTTTGGCCTTTGCTGGGGCCCCTTTAAAACCCTTTAAAAGTTTCAAGACGGCCCCTGGGGCCTCCGAGGGGGCCCCCATCACGATCCAAGAGGGCCCAGAGTCGCTGTAAAATTGTTTAAAGACGCCCACGATGGCTTCCACGACGACACAAAAAGGTCTCCAAGGGGCCCCCAAGAGGGATCCCAAGAAACAAACATCTGGTCTTTCCCTTGGGACAACGTGTATGTTCTGCATGTTCGCCTCTTGGGCTCCCGCTGCGTCGAAGGCGTCAAACGAAGGCCCCCAAAAGGGCCCCAAAACTGCCCAAAGGAAACCCAAGACGGCCAAAGAAACTCCGAAGACGGCCCGAGAAAACCCCAGGACGGCTGCAAGACGGGCCCCAGACGGACCCGAACGGAAACCCCGAGTTCTCGGCAGCAAGACCCCCCATGGGCTGCCCCCAACATGGGCTGCCCCCAAAAAACCCCACGAGGCGCACGTCCCCGCGCTGCGGTGCGCCGTTCGCCCGCGGCCCTGGAACGTCCGGTGGCCTGACATGTATCACCTTTGTCGATGTGCTCGGTTGTCGGATCAGGAAGGGAATTACCAGCCTGGAACAGATCCCTATCCCTATGCTGGGCATCTCCTCATCTCGATGCCAATCTTAGGGATTCCCTTATACTTTGAGGGCGCATCCCTAAGATTGTCATCGCTTTTTGGCGTGTCAATCTTAGGGATGGGGATAAGTTCGAGGCTGGTAAGGGGAAGAAAAGGGAGACGAGGAGGAGAGAGGAGGCAGACGGTTACGCACCTAGCGCCGCTCCCCGGATCCGCTCTGATTCCGCCGCTCAACTTCCGCTCTCTCCTTCTCCTCCCACCCGCCTGCCCACTGTTGTCCACCCTGTCCAACTACTTCACCCTCCTCCCCACTTTTCCCCACTCCTCCCCACTCTTGCCCACCCTCCTCCCCACCTTCTCCTCCCACCCTCTTCCCCACCCTTCCCCTTCTCCTCCCACCCTCCTCCCCTCTGGACGCCCGAAATGGGTACGGAAAAAACAGGTACAGTGCCCAACAACAAATGTTGTCCCAAACCAGCAGCGGCCGCTGTTGGGCAGGCGGCCTTCTCTCAGATGATTAGGCACAGGCCGCGGCGGCGTGGACAGCGAGTCCTGTTCAAAATGAATAAGAACTGCTGTTGGGCATTGTACCCATTCTTTCCGTACCCATGTCGGTCGTTCCGATCCCTACTCTTCCCCACCCTGTCAAACTATTCCAAACTGAACGCACGCTTCCCGCTGATCCCATGTCCCCACCTCCCACCTCCCCACTTGGGTGAGGACAACTTAGGTATCCACTGACCCAATCCAGACCCAGGTCAGTCAGGCGCTACAGGATCCTGCAGGATCCTGCACCCAAGCCTGGGTCAGTGCACCCTGGCCCTGCAGGATTCTGCAAAATCCGGCGCTCTGGCTGACCACCGTCTGCATTGACCCCCGTCCCTTGAGCCCTGGACAACCTCGGACCATTCTTTCGAATTCTGGAGGCTTCTGGGAAGCGTCTTGGGCTTCCGAGAAGTTTTCTGAGCCTTTCCCGAAAACAGAAAAAACTCATCAAAGGCGCGAGGGGCTTCTGAGAAGTCCCGCCGCCATCTGAGAAGGCCTTCTCCTTCTCCTTCTCCTTTCCCCCCCTCGTTCGCCGCCGATCAGTGGGGGGAAACATCGAGCTGGAATCGACAATACATCTCTCGTGGATCGGCCATCGGCTCCCCATGGCAAATCCTCACCTCATGGGCAGATTGGGGCTGCCGGGCCCCTATCGGCGATCCTTGGGCGATTGGGGGTCGCTGCATTACCCTTGGGCCTACCCCCCCCAAGCGCTGCCCCAAAGGAGGAGGACGCGGCGCCGGATCTATTCCGGCGTCCTCTGGGTGGGTCTCCACCGGCTGCACCAGCCCGACCGCCTCGGAGCGAGGCACACTCCCCTGTATCAGGCAGAGAACACCCAAGGGCTTACAGACTTTTCTCCGATCGACTGGCGGGGATCAGGCCACACAAATCGAGGTAAATCCCGGTACACCAAGATAGATCTCAACAAATCCTGTGATCTCCAGGAACATCAGGAGCAGATCGCAGATGCTCCAGCGCGGGTCGAGGGACAGAAGAGATCGTCAAGCCATGAACGAGAGAAGGAGGATGGCAGGAGCATTACCTCTCCCCCCGCGTGCTGGGCCATGAGGGTACGGCTGGCTAGGGTCGTGACGACCTGTGTAAAAGAAAAAAACATAAACATAAACTTTTGGCGCTCCGCGCGGGCTTCTTGGATTAAATGTCTTAGATCTCCGGCCCCGGACCCGGACACGGCCCAGCCAAGGGGGCCGCAGCCAGGGTCCCGGCCCTGGCCCCTGGACCCTGGCCCCAGCCCAGGCCGTGGCCCCAACCTCGGCCCCGGCCTCGGCCCCAGCACTGGCCCCAGCCGCGGCCCCAGCCCAATCCCCAACGGAGCCCAACAGGCTCCACAAAGAGCCCTAAGAAAGGCCCCAGACCGTCAGCGTCGTCGTCGTCACCGCTGCCGCCGCCACCGCCGTCGCCGTCATCGCCGTCCCCCTGCAGGGTCGGCGGCACCGGCCGCTTCCCAATCGAACAAGGAATAAACAGGAATCCCCGAAGTCCGGCGACTCTGCAGGATGCATCCGGCGCCGCGGCCGCTCCAGAGAGCGCTCGGGAACGCTCCGAGAGCATTCCAGAAAGCTCTCCCTGGGACCAGAGACGGCCCCAGGTGGCCGCAAATGGCTGCAAACCGCCCGCGCGTACCTCCGAGTCGCCTGGAGTCAGAAGTCAGCCTCCTCCGCGCTTCGCACTTCGCGACGCGCGGTCATCTTTAGAGGAAACCAGCATCAAGAAGTAGTCCGAGCGGATTTCTCGGACTGGAGCTGGACCCCCCCCTGGCGTGCGGAGTGCACCAGGGGCGGCGCCAGAGGTGCCGCCAGGGGGGTCCCAACGCCGATCCGAGAAATCCGCGCCGACCTTCGACAGTTTGTGTATGCCGTCTTGCCTGTTTCGGCGCGCAGATCCCAGGAAGTGGCCCTTGGTTCCAAAACTCTGGCTGGCATGGGCACTCATTCCGCAAGCCGATCGACATCCTCGGCCAAAACTCGAGATTCCCCGTGGATAGTGTGCACCGCACGTCGTCGGTGCCGCGGGAACCTCTCCAGCAGGGCCCCTCCGGAATTCTCCGTCGGCACGGAGGTCCCGCGCTCGTAACAATTTTCCCACTGACACACACACACACACCCAACACACACACACACAACACACACAACACACCAGTTTCAAGCAAGAGAACGACCTCAAGACCAGGCTTCCGCTTATGAGGTGGTCACCGAGACAGTGGCGCCCGAGGTCGAGGTCCAGAATGAGGAAGGGAAGGGGAGCGCCCCCGAGGGGGGTCCGGGCGCCGATGGAAGAAACCCGCGCGGACCGTCGAAAGTCGATGCTGCTGACGCTTTTCTTCTTAGCTCAGTGTCCACATCTTGCTGAACATCTCACGCTCGCGAGCCCGCCTCGGAGACTCTTCACCACGCTGTGCGCGGTGGCGGCTGCGATCATAGTCTCATGTCTCATGGTCATGCTCCTGGCCCCGACAGCTGATCTTGCACCCCCCCCCGCCACCTCTTTCCGAATCCGTCCGACCCGAGACGCGGAGGACAGGGATTCTTGGCTGATGACCTTTGCTTTGTCGCTGTGGCGGCGGTCGCACGGCGCAGGGGGGCCCTCCTCCTCCACCTCCTCCTCCTCCTCCTCCTCCTTCAACTCCAACTCCAGCTCCATCTCCTGCTCCTCCTCCTCCTCCTCCTCCTCCTCCTCCTCCTCCTGCTTCTCCTCCTCCTTCTCCTCCTGCTCCTCCTCCTGCTGCTTCTTCTCCTCCTCCTCCTCCTGCTCCTGCTCCTGCTCCTCCTCCTCCTCCTCCTCCTCCTTATCCTCCTGCTCCTGCTCCTCCTCCTCCTGCTCCTGCTCCTCCTCCTCCTCCTCTTCCTCCTCCTCCTCCTCCTCCTCCTCTTCCTGCTCCTCCTCCTCCTCCTCCTCCCTTGGACGTGACAGATCGACACCACAGGGGTGGGGGGGAGGACGAGGGCAGCCGTGGAGAGGGGCCTGCGGGGGCGGGCGGGGCGTCCAGGAGAGGGAAGGGTCGATTAGGGGCGCCCAGGGACACGCACATCAAATACACACAGATCCCAGGCCTGTCCATATGTTCTTACATGTTTTCTTGACTTTCGTCTCCCCCTCAATCCCCATGCGTTCCCGTATTTTCCTGGGAGTCGACGGTTCACTGCGTCTCTGCGTGTTTTTGCCCCTCCCGAAGGATGCAGACACAGGGGCGAGCGAAAGACGGCTCTGCCTCTCCTTCCCTCGCGCGGGCTCCAAGAACTACGGATTTTGAAGGGTTTGGGCCACTTAGGGGCCTCCTTGGGGAGCTCTGTGGCCACTTGGGGCCGTCTTGGAGCGGTCTTGGGGCTAAGGCAACCCAAAACAGTAGCGGAAAAACCCCCGGCTTCCTGCAGTCTCCAGGGGTCCACGCAAGCCTCTGTCAATGCCTCCAGGGGCCCGAAAAGAGCCCACAAATGCATCAGAGCCCGACAATCGGTGCTCGATCCTCATTCTCCCCCCCTTCTCCGATGCTGCACATTGCTCGTGGCGTGAGCGCCCTGGCGACTTCGACCCCGTCCCAAGGAGCGCTTCCTGATCCCGAAGTATTTTCTTGACCCTCCCGGTGCCCAGAAATTGGCCAGGAAGCCGAGACCCTTGGAAAACCAGCCGTCGCGATTGTGGCTGCGACGCCCAGATCTGAAGAGCCTCCTCCTCCTCCTCCTCCTCCTCCTCCTCCTCCTCCTCCTCCTCCTCCTCCTCCTCTCGGAGAAATGCCACTTGAGACAACGGCGACCGGCCCACCTGGCCCAACTCCGCTCAAAATCCGCCCCCAATCCATCCTGACCCGTTCTCGAGGCGGATCCGGCAGTGCCGACGAGAAGCCCCCAGGAGACCCCAAAGAGGTAGAAAGCAACGGGGAGGACCGCCATCGGGCGGGCGGCAATGGGGGGTGACCCAAACGGGGGTTGAAGGAGCGTGCCCTGAAGTGGTCCTTCAGGAACCCTTTTGGAGCCCGCAGGGGCCCGAATGGGCCTCGAGGGGCCCCTTTACCTCTTTACGGCCTTTTTCTCTTCACCCCCCCCAGTCACGCCCCGTTCACGTAACCCCCCAACCAGCTTACGCAACTGCTTTTCCCGGCGCCTCCCGGCGCCGGGAGGCGCCCACGTATCGAGGGATAGCCACCCTGACCTTCCGGGAGGGCTAACAAAAAATAGCACCAGGACGTCGGCGTGCTGATTTCCTGTCGAGGCTTGAGGCAGTCGAGATAGATCTATAGGTCTGTCGGGCGTCCAGAATTACCACCCGCCCGACCCCAAACACTGACACGCCCTCGCCCCGATCGGGCACAGGTGGAGGTGGAGGAGGAGGAGGAGGAGGAGGATGAGGATGAGGATGAGCAGGAGGAGGAGGAGGAGGAGGAGGAGGAGGAGGACCACCCGCCCGACCCCAAACACTGACACGCCCTCGCCCCGATCGGGCACAGGCCCGAGCGCCCGGCGAGCGCTGCTCTCGCCTCGGGCGGCCACGCTCCCCGGGGAGGGGCGGGCGGCGGCTGCAGAAGCAGCAGGGTCAGTGCTTCCTCTTCTTGCTTTTCCCTCGCCCGCCTCCCGCCTCCCTGCTCCCTGCTCCCTCCTCCACTCTCATCCTCCTCCCTCGTCCTCCTCCCTCCTCCCTGCTTCCGCTTCCTCCTCCCTCCTCCGCCTCCTCCTCCTCCTCCTCCACCTCCTCCTCCTCCCTCCTCCCTGCTCCCTCCTCCCTCCTTTCTCCTCCCTCCTCCTCTCTCCTCCCTCGTCCCTCATCTTTCTTCCTCTTTTGCTTATTGGTATTATCGTTATGGTTAGTCTTATCCGTAGTATTAATACTTTGTTCGTCGTCTCTTTTAAGCATGCATGTTCTCATTCGTATTATTATCATTCGTCTTATTTTGATTATTGCTAGCAATCTCACTTCTCGTATTCTGAGTATGAGTATGTTTCGTCTTCCTCCTCCTCCTCCTCCCTCCCTCCCTCCCTCCCGCCCTCACGCCCTCCCTCACTCCCTCCCTACTTCCCTCCCTCCCTTCCTCACTCCCTCCCTCCCTTCCTCCCTCCCTCCCTCCATCCCTCCCTCCCTCCACTCCCCCCTCCTTCCCTATCCGCCTCCTCCACCTCCCTCCTCCTCATCCTCCGCATCTCCCGCCTCATTGCTCCACGTCGTCGTCCTCCGTCTTCTCCATAGTCATGGCTTCCAGAGCGGGTGCAGAAAACATTACTTCCGATGACGTCGGGGCTTGCTCAATGCCGATGTCTTTCATGGACTTCGGCCTACAGAGGCCAGTTTCAGTTCCGCAGCGTCAATTAAGCATAAAACCTGGAAAGGTAGCAGAACTCTCTCTGGGGATGTGCATCGTGGGATCGAGACTTCCGTGGTCCGCGTATGGGGAACAAACAACATATCGAAGGTCTGGAAGCAGGAGGAGGAGGTGGAGGGAGCACGAAGAGGATGAAGGAGGATATGTAGGAGGACGAAGATTGGGGAGAAGGGCAGAAGAGGATGAGGACGAAGAGGTGAAAGAGGGAGAACATGGATGGGGCCGGCACGGATAATAACGCGTGGACATGAGATGGTGGCGAATGGTGACGCAGCAATAGTAGGGAGCAGACGCAAGATGAAAGACACGATCAGATGCAGAATCAGTGGGCATGTGTGTCGGGCAGGTTTTTCAACATGTCGTGAACGTGGGGCTATGGAGATTAATGTGACCCTTCCGTGTCTTCACTCCCGCCTCCTCCGTCTTCCGTCACCTCATCGCTGTTCCCGATTGGTGCGTGTACAC